GGAGAATACGCAGGTTTTGATGCCACGATGAAGGCCAGCAGCCTCGAGCTGTTGTGTAAACCCACAGCACAGGCCTCCACCTCAGGCAGACTTGATATCAGCTGAGGAGAGAACAAACACCAGCTAACAGTCAGTAGATGAACAAGCATAGAACTTGGCTGGTTCTTACACCAGCCCTTCATTTTTTCCCTACCAAAAGCTCTTAAGAAAAAATGTTTTAAGTCAAATAAAAAACTGCTTAGGTTTGTGGTTATAACATTTGGATTTTTTCTGCACTCCAGCGTCTAAAGAACTGACCTATCTATGTTGAAGAACTTCTTACTTGTTGCACATTGTCCAAATTCACCCTTTTCCCATTGCGTTTTATGAGTCTGTCTCTTCGTCCCAGGTAGTAAAGCTGTGAATCTTGGACCTTCACCCAGTCTCCAGTGGCTCTCATCATCCCATTGATTACAGTGTCTTCATCACCCAGGAGACACACTCTGTCTTCTCCACCTGCAGCAAAGATAACATTCAATGACTCTAAAAGAACATCACTACGATCATTTACACAGTGAGGTCTTCCTCACCTATGAACACTTGTCCTTCACCCTCAGTTATAATGCCACCATGTTCGTCCCTGACTTCCAGCACTGTGTCCCTCAGAGGAGTTCCCAGTGGCACTCTGAAAGCTGAGCTGATATGTATGGAACTTTAGGTTAAGTCTCAGAGAGTCCAGCAAACGTATATATATGTGCATGTTTCATCAAAAATATGAAAAAATAACACTCACAGATTGCTGGACTGAAGCAAAGTCTGTGGTATTTCATAACAGCTGGCCCAACAGGACACTTCAGTTATACCGTAGATGTTGAAAACATGAGTTTTGTTGTCCTCATCCCTGCAGCTTCTTAGCAGAGCTGGGGAAGGAAAGGCCTCTCCACCCAGAACCAACACCCGCAGTGAAGATCCTGATGACAGTACATCCTGTTTAATAATATGATTACTGAAGGAGCAGAGCAGAGTTGGTGTGACCTGTGAAAATAAATGAAAAAATACAGTTATATTTAAAGTGAAATTCTATTTTGACTCTCCAAGACCAAACATGTCTCCTACCTGTAGAACAGTGGTCTTGTTGTCCTTAAATAGCGCCGTTGCCAAACGATGGGGCATTTTCTTGACCATAGAGGGTATGATAAGAAGCTGTGCCCCAGATGATAAGGCCAGAAAAATGTCCACCACGGAGGGGTCAAATGTTAAAGGTGAAGCCAGGAAAACCACATCATCTGCACTCATTTGAAACAAAGATCTGTGCAAAGAGAGGTGCTGCTTCTGATGCACTTAGGAAGACTTTGGAAAATATGCAGCAGAGGCAAAGTATTGTAGTAACTAACCTCAGATGAAGTATATTCGGGAGTATACACTTGTGCAGAACCCTGACAATCTTTGAAGGTCCAGTTGTTCCAGATGTGTGCAACACATATGCAAGTCCTCTGTCCCCGGGTTGTCTTCCTGTCACAGCACCATCCACCGTTTGTTGTGGTTTGGATTTGTTCTCAGTGGCTTTTATCAGCTTGACTAGGATCAGTGTCATTTTAAATTTGGCCACTTCCACGCAAATGTCCACAGATATGTGCTCTTCCACTGCAGCCTGGAAGGACTTGATAATAAAATGGAGGGGACACATGGTCAACAATGTAAGGGTAGAGAATTAAATTAAAATGATATATTCAACAGAAATTCATGGAAATTAGAATAGAAATGAACATAGTGATTTCACAATTACCTCGCTTCACAATAACACCCCCTACAGTTTACTAACTCTAATTATTTTACCTTATCTTAGTGTACATTTAGGAAGTTTGACAGGGGGAAAACAAACAACAACAATAATAAAAAACACAAGAAAAACCTGTAAAAGTTCCGTCTTCACGACACAGTATTTTAAGCCACATTGGTGAATGACTCTGGCACAGAGAAGTCCAGGAGCTTCAGGGTCCAATGGAACATAGGCAGCAGGCGATTGAAGGATCCTAAAAAATAGAAATGAAATTAGGCTTTTCTAAATCCGATTTTATTCCAATCTACTGTATATGAGCACATACATTTTAATATATGTACGTACGTGCTGATAAGTACAGTGTAAGCTACTTTTTTAAAAATGTATTTGTTAACAAATTACTAGTAAGCGCTCTGAAAAAGTAACCGAGTTGTGACTGTGTTACAGCATGTATTGCAGCATGATTCATAAAAATGTTCTTTGATGAGCTCACCCAAGGATCCAAACAGGTACGAACAGATCATCACAGCAGTACAACCCGATTACGCCGTTGTTGTCAGTGCAGTACTCTTGTAACACAAGAGACAGTCCAACCGCCAGCTGTAGGAGATCTTTGTAGAGAAGAGACACCGGGCTGTCTGACATCGACCGACTGTCGTACACCACAGCTGTCCGGTCAGCGTGCACAGAAGCAGCGTTGAGCACGAGCGCCTGCAGCGTCTCGTCAGTCATAGCGACGGCCTATTAATCAATGAATAACAGAAAACATAGTCATTTTAATCAAAGTTGATCAGTTGAGCCCAAGGAAGTAATATTTGTAAACAGATAGAACATGCATGTCGACTAAAAATGACGTAATACGGAGAGGGGGCGGGCACTAATGGCTTGTTTAGGTACAGGTTGATACAATTTCTAGAGCGTGGGTTGTTTGTAGAGAAATACAACTTTTTACCGTTTATATCAATCTTAATTCTCAAATATATTTGGAAAATAGGCCTAATGTGTAATATCATTCATATACTATAAATTACGCATTTTATTTTGAAATAAATAGGACAGCTACACACATCGAAATAACAGTAATCCTCCCATTTACCAGAAACTTTGAACGCACCATCTCTTTGTTTGTCCAATCAGGAGCGAGTCAAATTTTGAACCTGATACAAAATCTTTTCCGTGTTTTGTAGCTCGCGTCTTGGTTTATATATTCTCAAAAAACAAATTCACAAATTCCAACATGGATGCGAAGTTTAAAAAACAATTTCAAGAAAATGCCAGGATATATAAAAAATCGTTGGATTCAATCATTGAAAAGGTATGTTTCTAGCTTTGGGGGCAAAATTGTTTGCCGTTAGCGCAATTGTTGCTTAGATTCGTGAAGTCGTTTCGAAACATCGAGTCCATTGAACGATGTCGTTGTTTTAACAGTATTCAAACCTTCCGTATGAAGACGGCGGAGTCGAGATCGCTCTCGATGTCGTGGACCAAGAGAGTAAGTGAATTAATTGTTTGTTGTTGCTGTTGTGACAACATACCATTGTAGATACAAGCAGCAGCGCAATACATTTTAAAAATAAAATAAAAAATCCGGAGGTTTTTAATAATTAAATGTTGATGCTCAGTTAGGATAAGAACAACTTATTAGTCGGACTATGAGGATTTCATTAAACATACTGTCTCCCAGAATACCAAAACAGTCTAAATAGTTACTAATATTGTAACCTCTTACATTATACATATTGTTTGTGTTTGCAGTCGGTTTTAGGAAATGTGAAACTATCCAGAGGTATTTCATACTATTCTTTTTTAAAGACTCCAGCATTTAGACATGCTGCTCCTTCAAGAAAGCCCTCTGGGTTTCAGTTCAATTCTATCTGAATTAGATAGGGCCTGTTAGCTTTTGTGACTTACTGTCAAGCAAGGCACGTAATTAATATATAAGAATTTTTATTTGTTCCTTCTTGCATGGCAAAGGTCTTGATCGTTGTATGAGGCAGGCGAAAAAAAAGCTGGATAAACTAGCAGCCAAGGTAAACACACTTCTGCCAAAATAACATTTTTTTTTTATGTTAAGCAGCAACGAGTCCATAAGAAATTATAATTAAACATTTGTATTCTCAGAATATGGTGGTCTCAAGAGAAAGTTCTGCAAGATGTGATAATTGTAAGTTTAAATTTTAAATTATAAATAATTAATGTTCACCCTTTTTTCTATATTGCACCTAATTGCATTGTTTTCTTCCATGGCAGCCTATGGAAGAACGGGAGATTCACAGGTAAATGATTTGCAAAGTTGTTTACCCAAACGTGACATCTTGGAAATGTTTATATTTGATTTAATTTTTTTTTTTGAACAGTTGGACTTAACACATCAAAGCAGTAAAGGTGATGACACTAATACATCCAGCCTCTGCTCTGGTGCTGATCATGGTGAGTTGGTGACGAGTTACACACACAAGTTCCATGTTTGTCAACTGGTTCAATTCTGTAAAGTGTCTTTTTATTTTTTTTTTTACAATCTGAAGGAAGTTATTCCAGTGACTCGAGTCGGATGACTGTCTGCTCATTAAATGAGTGTTTGCCAAACCTTTCTGTGTCTGAGCTTCAGCTCAAGGATCAAGATGAGCAACTGGAGATGACTATTGAAGAACAGAGCTGTCTTATGGAGCAGTACTCCAGCATGGTCGATCGACTTAATAAGGCATTGAATAGACAAAATGTCTCAGAGGTCGCTGACTCTGTAGTCAGGAGGTACCGCAGATGGCGACAGCAGTCCAATCAAAGTATTCTCAAAAAAACATCTGCGAAACACAGAAAAGGCAGAAACTTAAATGAGGTTAGGTCGTGGTCTTTGGAGACCACTCTGTCACCAGACAAACAAAGAGGCTCACTAAAGCGTTGTCACCGCCAACCTGTCCTAGCACTGGATCAGTCTGCTCACAATGGTTCCTTTGAACCAAGAGACGTCTCACTCCATCGGACATTGACACTTTCTCCTTTCCCACAGACCGAAGAAATACGGCGCTCCCATTCTAGTAGTCCTTCAAAACATTACTTCCAACCTGCGAAATCATCATTGAACTGGATTCACAAGTCTGAAAGGCATTCTCCCTCTGCATTCTCAGAGAAGACTAGCAGGCCTTTCATGTATGCAGACCAACACTCTGTTGTTGAAGACAGATCTTCTTTCAGCAGTTTGCCGGTCAAGCAGAGTCCTAGCAAATTTGGGGCAATAAGTGAGACAAGTAAATCGCCTTCTGCTTTTTTAACAAGAAAAGAAATGTCTGCAGAAATGTTTTTCGGAGAGCCGTCGTGGCCCAGGTCCTGGTCTTCCCTCTCCTCTCCACAGAAGTCTGCTGTGCCCTTGAGAGTGATTGACCCACAAAATACCCGTCTCTTCTTCTCCCCTCATTTGAAACCCCCTACAACAAATCGCCCCAAGTTCCAGCGTAGCCTTTCTTTTGACTCTTCATCGCCGTCCACCGCTTTACCTTTTTCACCTGAAAAGGTTGACGTGGATTTCCAAAAGCTCTACCACAGGTATGCTTGTGAGAAGAAATATTTCAACGACGGCCCCCCTTGCAGTCTCTGCACCAAAGGCCTTCAGGCCAGCCGGATCCAGTCAGCTCTGGCTTTGTCGCCTCGCAGCTTGGTCTGGAGAAAACGCCACAGGGAGCAAGGCCGTGACGGCCATCCCCAGTCCAAACGCGTGAGGAATGAATGCAGTACATCCTCCCCTGGTTCCAAACGCTATGAAAAAGAAATGTTGAGGCGCCGTCATTCCCAATCCGAGTTGTCCGGTTATGACCTCTCCAGCAGCAGATACAGATTGCAGCAGCGCTCAACAAATGTGCACCAGGAGATCAATAGAAGCCAGGAACCGTCAGATGTCAACACTACCTTTTTTCTACATCGGTACGTCTCCATCAAACCATGCTGTAATACAGAGCTTATTTTGCCCATCTTACATTTGCTTTATTTTATAGGTCCTTCACTTGAGGACAACTGAAATGTCTACTCCTGGATACTGAGAAAAATATTCCTCCTGCCATGAAGATTTCCTCTTTCAAGTCATGAGAAGACAGTAAGATAAGGCTCAAGTTGTTCAGATTGTTTAGATGTAATTCTGTTCTGCAATTCCATTGATTTTATACATTATTGTATACATTAAGTTCATCTTGTAATGAGATAAAAGGCTGGGTATTCATCTGGTCAGCCTTCCACCTCAATTTTATAATAATAAAAGTATAATTATTTATTGTACACAAAAAATTGCAGTCAATTGGACTAATTCTGTTTATTGTATAACATATTTATCATATTTCAGTCAAAACTTGAAGGCAACAGCCGTAGTTTAGACCCTTAACAAAAAGAGACAAGTGATCAACTTTACATAGAAAAATTCCTCTTAGTAAAATAAAGACAGCGCCACTCTTTGGCCACAGTATTTGTGCGCTTTTCTGCTACTCCTAGCTACTAAGGCTTGAGTGGTAAAAATAAAGACATTTTTCACATTGGAAAAAAAACAACCCAAAATACACCATCGTAGTTGCCTTCCTCGGTAACATTTAGGTAAAACTTAACTCAGGGTAGTACCATGAAGACAGAGGTAATCAGAAGGTGATCAATGAACTCCCACACATAAGCCCGAACAGAAAAATGAAAAGGTTTTTCATAAACATTATCACCCATTTCTCATTCAAAGTCTTGAATGAACATTCCGTTCCATCGGTGGAACCTTTCACCACTCCAGCTCCACGGGGTACTTTCCTGTCAGACAGGCGGTGCAGTGCCCCACTCTGGTGTTGGACCTGTTAGTGGAGCTCATGATCTTGTCCTTCTGTACAGAGGCAATCCCCTCCTGAACAGCTGACACGAGACCCTCCACAGTCAGATATTCCACAGTGTCGGCACCTAAACAACGATCTCAGATGTAGTTCACATTCTTTGTATGTTTGGGGTTTTTTTTAAATTGTAAATTGGAGACAAAAAAACAAAACAAAGAATTTACCAATATATCCCGCTATGTCCTTAAACTCTGGCATGTTGGCAATTAGCTCCTCTTTGGTTGGAATGTTGATGCCCATGTAACAGGGAAACCTGATTGGTGGAGAGGCCACTCTGATATGGACCTATCCAAAAGTAAAGTTAGTGCCGAAAGGTCAGTGTGACAATATTGGCTATAAAATTATGTTCTACTGCTGTCGTAATGAACTGCAATAATTTGTGAAATTATTCAGATTACAACTTTTTAAGCATGAGCTGAGCAGAACACATTGTATATTCAGTAATCCCACTGTCCATCCCCTTACTGTGGCTCTATTACAGTTATTTACAGCCTCTCAAATTGCTCTAAAAACTAGAATTACTGGTAAACAAACCTCTGTTGCCCCAGCTTCCTTTAGCAGCTTTATAATGGGCGAGATGGTGTTTCCTCTGACAATTGAGTCATCAATGAGTACCACTCGTTTCCCAGAAAAGTTATCAGTCAGTGCCCCAAACTTCTTAGCAACTCCAAGCTGCCTCAAACGAGTGTTTGGTTGAATAAACGTTCTTCCAACGTAGCGGTTCTTACACAGTACTTCGACGTACGGCAGCCCAGACTATGAGAGGGGAATTAATGTAAATGACAACATGTAACATCCATAATTAGGCAGGTGTATGTTAAAGTGAGAGCAGACATGTGGTGGACTGACCTGCTGAGCATAGCCCAGAGCAGCAGGAGTCGCAGACTCAGGCACAGTGCTGACGACGTCTGCATTTGTCGGATGCTCAATGGCTAACCTCTGACCGCAGCGCTGCCTGACCGTGTACACCATCTGTCCTGTAGAATAGATAAATAGAGACACAAAATAGCAGCAATGCTGGGAGGAAACACTTGTGCATTAACTGTACTGGAATTCTTCTAAAAAGACAACACACCTTCAAAAATAGAGTCTGGTCTGGCAAAGTAAACATATTCAAATATGCAAAAAGCAGGAGGGTCTCCCTCAGGGCGTGGTACAACAGTCAGGGATTTGACCCCATGTTTAGAAATCTGGACTATTTCCCCTGGTAAAACTTCCCTGTAATACCTGAGAGCAAAGGCAGACAAGAAATAAATGTCATGCAGCTCTTTGACCAACACTGACAAATATGAATGATATGAATATATATGAAACATACCTGGCTCCAATGGACTGAAAACTGCAGGACTCTGATGACACCACCCACCCCTCAGTATCCCTGTCTTCAGCACCTAAGCACAGAAACACAGAACAAAGTAAATCATCCACCATCCTTCTGACCGCTGATATCACTAAAGGTCACGCTGCTGGCCTGTGTGACCTGTACAAGCAGACAAATTGCGTATACCTTGATTGCGGAGTTTAGCGATGGGAACAAGCTGTCCAATGCACAGTGGTCGATTGCCGTAAGGGTCACGTACCGCATAGATAGCATCTTTGAACATAACTAACAGCGAGTACGATGTTGGGGTCTCTGTCATAATGTTTTTAATCCTGCAACATAAAATGTTTGTTTTTTTTGCTGTCGCTTGTCAACTGAAATAATAATTAAAAAAATGTTTTACTCAAACTTACCTAGCAACCCAGTCTGGGGAATCCAGCTCCTCCGTAGGGGGGGTTAATGCCAGCAGTTGAGTAATAAGTTCACTATCTGAGCTAGTGGAGAGGCCTACACCATGACGCATTACCTTCAAAGCATTGAGGATGGTATTAGTTATAATTGACAGCTGCCAATCAACTGTCTAATCACAGCCTGAATTAGGGTCAATGTAACAAATGCTCATTTTTTTGCCAAGAGACTTGTATATATTGTGTAGTTAAAGGTGTCATGATTGATTTTACTTTCCATATGATCACACTTAACAGAATTGATAACTTGTTCCGCTGAATATGACCTTGTAAACTAGTGAGTGGAAAAATATCTTTCAGTAAAATGTCCATTGTTGTAATATGTAGACCACTATGGGTCTTTGTTAGGGGCTTAAGCATAGCTGTGCCTTTTGTGATTAAACTGTGTGAAGTCATCTTGTACTGATGTATTTAAATTGTTGTTAGTATAATTCATTAAATGTTTTCATACCAAAAAAAAGCTAAAATTAGTTTTTGTGTCTACTCAAGTTGCCAGTTAGTTAATTTTGACCAAAATCTTCTACCATGGTCAAATAAAGCAAATCCATCTTCAGATGTCCTATCATTTTCATCATTTACTCTGTTCAATATGTGGTTTGTGGGCCATTGTTAAACACGACTCATGTCATACTCACCTTTTTCCGTAAGGCAGAAGCATTAACCAGTTCGCCATTGTGGGCTACAGCAATTTTACCATGCAGTGTGTCCACCACAAAGGGCTGGCAGTTCTGAAGCTCTGAGATTCCGGTGGTTGAGTACCGTGTGTGACAGATACCGAGGTTGCCATAGCGAAGTTTCATTTGTGCCTCAGGCGGGAAAGCATGGCTGACTAAACCCATTCCCTGGAGAGAGAAAAAAGTGGAATCTTTGTTGCATGTCTGCACTTGTACAATCTGCACCTAGTAAAACAGTACTGAGGAGCAAGCTAGTGTAAAGTTAAAGCACAGGCAACTAAAAAGGTGGTATCATGCTTTAAACACAGTAAGTGCTGCTTGAGTGCCTTCGATGTGATTGTACACAGCTTCTGGTGTTTTCTTTACCTTATGGACTGTGTATGTTGGGGGGCTGGCTCCATCACTTATGACAATCCCAGCACTTTCCTGCCCCCTAGGTAACACACACACACACAATCACATGTACAGGTTTCATGTTTAAATCATGAGAGGAATTGGCTCTATAATCTTTTTTTTTCCCCATTTCTAATCATCAGTAAATGTAATTTACTAGTGATGGTCATCTTTGGGAAAACAACAGACAATGTGATGTCAAAATATCAGTAAAGCAAAACTGACAAAATGAAACGTCTGCCTCTCTGCTTCACAGCAACAGAGTAGACAGCCAGAGTGTCTTGCTGCAGCTTCAGCCAATTCACCAAGCTGCTTCTCAGATTACACTTGGACCCGCCCCATCAGCACACAGCTTAAGCCAGTGGTGATGCCGCTTTTCTACACGGAGGCGTTGCTTTCAGGCTTAACCGCCTGGTTGCCTAGGGAACCGAGCAGCAGAGACAGACAGGCTGGGGAAACAAAGCGTTTCCAGGTCAGCTCCAACATGGAGAGAGGAACAGAAAGACAAAGAGGTGGTGATATTGAGGTGGTGGTGGATGAGAAGACCTCGGTGGAGAGACAGTGGGGGGAGGCAGAGGTGCTGGCTCTTATGTCAGTGTGGGACGAGGTTGGAGCTCAGCACGTAGCTGATACCAGAGCCACATTTGAGTTGATCTCAGAGCGCCTGAGGAGGCTTAGTGTTATGCGCAGCTGGTGGGAGTGTCAGACTAAATGCAGGAGCCTGGGACTCCAGGGCAGGAGGCCTGACGCAGCAGCACCAGGCACTTCAACAAAGTACAGCACAAGAGTGGATGCAAGGCCGGAGGAGGGCTGGGAGCAAGAGTTGGAGGATTTGGGTAATCAAAGAAGATTGTACCCATCCTCAGGCACTAACCTATCGCAGGAAGGTAAATGACAGTTTAACACCCCAACCCTAGTTAAAGTAATAACTGCTTGTGATAATGCTTAGAAAGTTTCTAATTTCATTTGGAGTACTTGTGGCCTGAAGCTGAACCAGACAACTAAAAGACATGTTTTTAATTAGGGATGAAGAAGCATATCCAACGAGCCCTTCCTTACACCCTGAGTCCTGCGGAGGGGGGCGGTCGCCACTGGACAGACGACGAGGTGCGAGCGCTGCTCTGTGTGTGGGCCGACCAGCGCGTTCGTCAGCGTTTAAAATGCACACTACGCAACAAGTCAATCTTCCAAGAGATGGCGTATCAAATGCAAAGGAAGTTTGGGGTAGTGCGCAACTGGAAGCAATGTCGGACCAAATACAAGAATCTGAAATATGACTACAAAACTGCAAAAAATGCTCATACTGCTGGAGGCGGTGCTTCAGGAGGCCCGGGAAAGTACATGAAGTTCTTTGAAGAGGTCGAGGCAATTATTCTTGACCGTGGCTTGGAAAATGGGACTTCCGAAATGCAGAAACGGCTCTATGAGGGAGAAGTGCCTGCAGAAAATCTACAAACACCGGCAGGTCATGCACCATCCTCAGAGAGTGAGGTTGTCATAGAGATTGATGATGGTATGTACACAATCAACAGTTCATTTTCATCTTATTTTAAGGCAAAAAAAAAAGTTTATTTCTCATCTATTTCCAGATGACAACAGTGACGACTACGACATGGACCTGGAGGCAAAATGGAGAGGACCAGGTAGCACTCAGGTTATGTCCAATATTTAATGGATTTATCTTTTTTTTTTTTTTTTAACGTATAGATTTTTTCTTTGCACTAATTATCAACTTCACAGCTTCACCCATCCCTGGCCAGATCCAAGTGGTGACAGTGTCAGACACAGGACGAAACTGGAGTGACCAAGAGGTGCGAGCGCTGATTCAAGTATGGTCTGATGAGCGTGTGTGCAGGCAGCTGGAGAACTCAACCAGAAAGAGAGACATCTTTGTTCAGATCTCCAACAGGTTACTGCAGCAGGGGATTGAACGTGACTGGAAGCAGTGTCACACAAAGTACAAAAACCTCAAGTATCTCTACCGTTCCCTCCAGAGAGGCAAGACTGATGAAGCTAGACGTCTAATGAAGTTCTATGACGAGGTGGACGAAATCATGAATCAGACAAATAATAGTTCACCGAGTGTCACTAGAACTGCAGATCAACAAGAAGCATCGGGAGAACGAATGGAGAAAGACTGTGAAAGACATCGCAAAGATCTCATCTAGACAAGTGAGAACGCGACGGCGGCGGCGACAAAGGCAGACTTGGAGGAGAGAAGTCGTAGTTCTGATTCCATCTCCTCCATAAGCCTTGATATTCCATCAAGTACTGAGGAGGAGAAAACACATGACGCACAGGAACCTCGTTCCCATCAACAGCACAGACTCACGAGTGAGTCACAGAGTCCCAAAACACATTGTTTTATTATATGTTGTGGTTAGCTTTCTATCATGAACAAATATATCAGTGGACAGAGACAAAAGTAGGCAATCACATAGAAATCTGGGGGACAAAAGAAATAACTTCTTTCTTTTTTGAGATACTTTTTCACCATGTGTTCTAGTAATTTTATTTTTGTGAGGACAACAATTCGTAGCTGAATAACAGGACTGTAAAGAAAAGCTTGATGTCAAGTATTACAAATGTGTAGCGTAAATAGTAATTTGTATCAAATACGCCAATAATGAAGTATCCATCATTAGCCCTACACATTCACGTATATATACACATTTCACTTTACAGCAGTAAATAACTTAATGGTAACTTATTTCATTCTGTGTTTGACTCAGGGAATTAAGACTCTTAGAGAAAAGTTAGAAATAATGGAAATTCATACTTAGTCTAAAAAAAGGAACGGTTTGACCAACACCATTTAATAACATTTTTAATAGCATTTTTTTTTTTTTTGCAGGCACTTGTGAAAACAGGACCATACGAGTGGACACCTTTTTGGCAAACAGAGGAATAAAAAGAAAAGCTGTGGACCAAGGTTTGAGATGAGCCGGTGTCTCTTATCACTTTGCATGTCACATGATGTCAAATATTGAGCCGAGGCCTTATTGACTGCTGACACCCCGAGTCCCATGATTCATCAAGAAGCCACATAATGAACACATAAAGGGTGGATTGTCACGGCTAACAGGAAGCAGAATGCTAGATGTATGTCATTTCTGACCATGGAAGTTATATAAATATATAATTTCTTGTTTCAGAAACCATACTCCACACTCAAGTGAAAAAACGGGACACCGGCTCTGGGTCCACTGATACTGACCGAGTCCAGTTTAAAGAGGAGCAGGAACCCATCCCAATTATAAAGATTCACTCAGTCCGTTCAATGGCCTCCTCTAATCCATGCCCAATAAAACAGGTAATAACTACTCACTACTGATGTGACAAACACATGACCACGCAATACAGTTGATTTCACAAAGATCTGTGGAAGAAAACTTTACCCTCCTATTGTCCTATTATTTTTGTAATCTCAAAGAGAGGAGACATTTGTTTGGAGACAAAGGTTTTAGAGTCATGTCAATGTTTGGGTAGGTCAAAGATCAGGTCAAAGAACAGCTGAACCAAGTAACTGAGGTTACTACATAACATATACTCAGATACAGGCTTAGTGTATCTTTCAGATGTTAAACTACAAGTATTGATGACTGAGTGGAACTAAGAACTCGCCTGGACTTTAAACTCGGTTTGAAAAAACCCCAAAACCCTTTACTTTGGGAACTAACTAATACACATTCTTTTGTCTCTAAGTGTTATGTATGAACAATTGTTAACGCAAAATATCTCGGTCCTTTTTCTCCATATGTTGTAAATTATTTTGTTTTTACATGGTGCGGTTCCCCGGATGTAAAAAAAAAAAAAAGAAACAGCGTGGTCCCCGGTCACATGTTGTAGTTTGTTTCGGTAAATAAGTCAGCAGAAGTAATGCGGAAGATACATTTAAAATAAAAACGTCAACAGTGGCAAAAACTTAACATGAAAGGTCTAACTTGGACCTTTTCGTCCTCTTTTGCAACGTTTTATAAAGTGACATCTTAAACGGACAACTGTGGATCTTACCTGTGCTGTAACGCCACAAGACCCAGGGTCAAAATCTGAGCCACTTCCAGCTGCGTGGGCCATTCACCGGCTGCAACACAGCCGAAAACCCCGCATTCCTCTCCGATGCCGGACTCTTCGAACTCCATCCTTCCAAAGCCCCAGCTGCCTGTCCTGGTCCTCCGTCCTCACCGACAGTCTCGAGCCTGGTTGCGTAAAACTGCAGTATTGACTGAACACGTGCCACTTTACGCAGGAATGTGGCTCGTTAAAAAAAAAAAACAGAGCTACAGAACAATGACGAAACGCAACTTGGTATTACAATTTAGGATAAAAAGAGTCAATCAATGAAGTGAAGTGAAGCAATTCAGAGGAACTCCTCCATTTTCCTCCCACAAAATAAGTTATAAATGCTGATTTAATTAGACATTAAATTGACGTTACACGAGTTAGTTGTGGATGATAACGTTTGACAGAGCTATCCCATTTAAAGTTATCAAATCATTAAACACGTTAGATAGATGTGTCGTCTTTGATAACGAATCATCTAATGGTGACGCGAACAAAGAGTAGAAAAAATAAAGTTAAAGGAAAAAGTTTTCCTGTTGTGCAACCGCAGACGTCCCTAAAAAATGCGCGACTCTGATTGGTCGTGTCGATCAATGGCGCGATGCTATTGGTTGTCCGAGCACGTTAAGACCGACTCCTCTTCCGTCCTCTGCTGCGCACATTTTGTCTGAAGTTTGCACAAGTTTCATCTGCTTGTTTCCTCATTTAGGTCAACACTTTGTCACAAAGCGGCGTCATGGAGTCCAGTGCAGGTAAAAACACGACACTGAATGTGGTTCTCACAGCTTTTAGTTTAATATGCATCGTTTCATTGTTATTTTTCTGCACGCACGTGTGTTTTTCAAGAGCTAAAAACAGGCCAGAAGCTGAATGAAGGGAAGACAAAGCAGATCTTTGAGCTGGTGGACCAGCCAGGACTGGTTCTGGTCCAGTCCAAAGACCAGATCACCGCAGGCAATGCGGTGAGGAAAGATCAGATGGAAGGGAAAGCTGCCATCGCCAATAAAACCACGAGCTGCGTGTTCAAGCTGCTGCAGGAAGCTGGTAAAGCCACAGTCAAGTTAATCATTGATGTCAATTAGAAACGCTGCCTTCAGATCGTGTCCATAGGATCACACTGGTGGATACAACACTTCAGACTACAAATTGAACAGGAACTTAATTTGACAAAAGAAGAAAAAAAAATTCAAATCATTTATTCTTTTAGCTTTAGACTTCAATAGAAAGATCAAAGGAAAAGCAGTGTCAAGTCAACTACGACTGCTTACTTTTTCACAAATAATTAAATGAAGAAAATAACTGGTGTGCACCCATGATATTTACGCTACTAAGATATCAGTCTTTTACAATTTGCAATAAAGAGGAATAATAATAATATTAACTCTAAACCATCAAATAGAACTTTCTCTGTTACAGTTTTCCTGGACCAGGCAACTAAATGATTAAAGAGGGACTAGGTATTACATAATACATGACATTTTTCAGGTGTGCCATAAATGTGCACTATCATTGGAGCATGTGCTAATTTTGAACACGGAACAATTACACCATATTTGTCCTGAGTCAGGGTTTGTGCATGTAGTGAAACCGGTTTGGGATTTAAGGTTGGCTTAAACCTGGCTCCATTTTGGGGGGAAAAATAGAAAGAAAAAGTCACGCTTACTGTTACTGCAAATTGAGAAGTTCAGAATTCAACTAGTAACAAAAAGATTGTTCATGTAACAACCGTTCATCATTGCATTCAATTAAAAAAAAAAATGGAAATGTTCATTTTTAATGAACTGCAGCCAGTAACCTTTTTTTGTTTTAATTTTTTTTTAACTTTTGTTCATACCATTTTAGTCTGCTAAGAACAGTGTTTCCTTGCTTTAATTCATTATAAAATAACAAACAAAAAGTTTAAAGCACCAATATTTCAAGTTTAAACTTTGATATGGCCAGAATTTTCTCCACGTTGCTTACATTTAAAATTGATTAGGTAATTGGACCCCATGTGAGACTCGTGACTGAGTGTGTGTGTGTGTGTGTGTTAATTGTGTTCATGCATGTCTTGTGACTTTAAGGCTGTTGATAATAACCTTATTCACCAACAACCACTTCTGCCCATTCATCATCATACCCTGGGTTTAAATGGAAAACTGTGATTAAATCTGTGATTAATATTCAAACAGAGATAAATGAAGCTGAAATGGCAGTGTGCTATAATTTAGAGATCTTTCTTTTCAATCCTTTCCTGCTCTCTGGTATTTAATATATGAATTTCCTCCAGGTATCAAGACTGCCTTTGTGAAGCAGCATTCGGACACAGCTTTCATTGCTGCCCACTGTGAAATGATTCCTATCGAGTGGGTCTGTCGTAGAGTGGCCACTGGGTCGTTCCTCAAGAGGAATCCAGGAGTCAAGGAGGGCTACCGCTTCTCTCCACTGAAGATGGAAATGTTTTTCAAGGTGGGTCTGACCACATGCTGTGCAAACTTTGACACCATGGCTGACCTTTTTAACACGGTGACGGGACAAACAGTAACATGTGTTCGCTAAAAAACAGGATGATGCCAACAATGACCCTCAGTGGTCAGAGGAGCAGCTGCTGGAGGCCAAGTTCTGTCTGGCTGGGCTCACTATTGGCCAGTGTGAGGTGGACATCATGAATCGCAGCACTGTGGCTATCTTTGAGATTCTGGAAAAATCATGGGCCACTCTGAACTGCACCTTGGTTGATATGAAGGTATGCAGGGCACGGCTGCCCTCTGCTGGTAATTTCCTGCCTTCTTTCCTTTTAAGAATTGAGTAACGATGATGACAATCCTTTCCATCCAATAGATTGAGTTTGGAGTTAACGTGAAAACTCAAGAGATTGTTCTTGCTGACGTGATCGACAATGACTCATGGAGACTGTGGCCAGCTGGAGACAGAAGCCAGCAGAAAGATAAACAGGTTAGGGGGTTTTGAAACCCCTCGATTTGGACTTTAAAACGTAGACAAACATGACATGAAGCTTGCAAAACAATAAAATGTCACCTTTCACCCCCCTAGGTTTACAGAGACCTGAAAGAAGTGACCCCTGAGGCCATGCAGATGGTGAAGAGGAATTTTGAGTGGGTCGCTGAAAGGGTCGAGGTACACTGAACTTTGTTCTTGACTTAGTTTTTTTTTTTATCAAAATGTGCTTTAAACTGTTTGCCTTTAATCAAATATGTTACCCATTCAGTTAAACAGAAGCTTTTCATTTCATTACCACCATGGTTAGGGTCTTGCAGTGTAGCTTGATTAAATTTCAAATAGTGATATTGGGTTATGTCATATACACAATACTCTAATTTACCTGTTATCTGTTGTGACTCAGCTGCTGTTGGAGTCTCAGGCCAGTGGCAGGGTGGTGGTTCTGATGGGTTCGACCTCTGACATGGCCCACTGTGAAAAAATCAGGAAGGCCTGTGCCTCATATGGGGTCGCCTGCATCCTCAGAGTCACCTCGGCACACAAAGGTCCAGACGAGACACTGCGCATCAAAGCACAATATGAAGGTGTGTTGACGTATCCACATCATCTCTTACAGTTTTTATTATTGTTATTAATCAAGTGACGATACCTATTTTTATTTATTTATTAGGTGACGGTGTACCCACTGTGTTTGTGGCTGTGGCTGGCAGAAGTAATGGTCTTGGTCCAGTTATGTCAGGAAACACAGCCTACCCTGTCATTAACTGCCCTCCAATCTCCCCTGACTGGGGTGCGCAAGATGTCTGGTCATCTCTTCGCCTTCCTAGTGGTACGTTTTTGTTTTTGTTTTGTTTCTTTTACCTCTGTCCACTCCATTCTGGGCGGTGATGTTGGTCAGTGGCACATTCTTTTGGTAAATTAACCACAGAGTCTTCTGGTCTGTCTCTAGGTCTGGGGTGCTCCACAATCCTGTCCCCAGAGGCCAGTGCTCAGTTTGCAGCACAGATCTTTGGTCTGACTAATCACCTGGTGTGGTGCAAACTGAGAGCCTCACTGCTCAACACCTGGGTGTCTCTCAAGCTGGCAGACAAGAAGCTACAGGCCTGCACCATTTGATATGGCTCCTTCACTCTGGCTTTTCTACATATGCCATAGCTTTGTTTACTGAGGAAAAGTTAACTGTGGATGAAATCCGTGCAAACATTCTTACACAACAATCATTCCATTTAACGGAAATAAAATAAAACTTACTAACACTTAAGTGTGTCTTTGTGGACTTGAGTTGACATACCTTGTAATATTCCCTCACTTTAGATTTAGGCTGTGTGAGAGCTAAGAATAGTGCTGTGGGGCCCCTCTTATTCATGGACCCCTAGACACCCCCTCCTCCCGCCCCCCCTGTTGGTTCCCCAGGTTATTGTACCACAAATTCAATAGAATTTGCATATATTCTTATTTTATTTAGGAATTGAATACAACAGTGCAAAACAGTTTGACTTTTTTCCTCGTTTTCTGAGCTTTGATTGTGCAACAGTGACATAAAAAAAGTGGGCTCCAGCCATTCCTCTTGAAACTTTCCTCTTCATGAATTATCAAAATCAGCTCAGTTGCAGCAACTTCTTTTTACCACAAGAGGGAACTTGTACCCCACGTTGCTCACTCAAAAGTAGACACGTCAATAGTTCTATTTCTATTAGATAGAGCCAAGCAAATGAGTCAGAATATTCGGACATATATTTGAAAAAGATTTCATGTAATGTCATAATTGTATATACATGTGCATATATATACACATATATATGTATTTATACATATATGTATGTATTTATGCATGCATGCATACATGCAATCTCATGAGTCCAATATTTGGACATATATATATTTAATATTTTATGTGATGTATATACAAACATACAAATATGTAAGTATGTATTTAAATAGAGCCAAGAAAATTTGTCAAAATATCTGGACTTTTTAAAATATTTTGAGTTGTTAAAAAGTAGGTAATGGAATAAAAGAAAATATGCATTTATATTTCCTTTTATTCCTCATCCCTTTTATGTTTTTTTTAGTACTATTGATAGAAAGTATTTCATGTGATACCAAATCATGGACTTTGATATTCAAATTTCCTCTCATGTGTGGGTGGTGGTGGGAGGATGGAAGTGCTGTGGGTAGAGAGTGACACAGATCAGAGGAGAGATGCCTCCGCATTTAAATGTGAAGTTTAAGCTATGGTTGTAGAATACACTTTACCCTCTCTGAAGGGACAGTAGGGACAGAGCCACAGAGCAGGGATGGATGCAACATCTATGTGTAAGTGACTCCAGGTTGCCACGACAACTGTAGCATGGCAACAATCACATTATATACAATAATCGCCCCTTATTTCCAAACAGAGCTCTGTTGATTCTCCTTTCATTAGGCCACCTTTAATTCCCTTTTCTTCTGGCTGCGCTGTCATTATTTCACCGCTCATTATCCTCTAGTGGCTCAGACTAAATGTATCTGAACATGAATCACCAGAAAAGTCAGATTACTAATGGCTCATGAAAATGCATGATCATGACTCTTGTCTGTGCTTGGAGCTGCTTGAAAAGGCAAAATGAAACAGTTAAGTCCATATTAAAAAGGAACGGTGCAGTGGAAGTGTCAAGACTTCAAGACTTCAAGATTCAAGTCAGCACGGAAAAAAGGCATTTTATTGAGATCTTAAAGTGATGAAGGTGATGGTGGAATATCACTACATCATATTTACACTGGCCCATAAACTTCTTTTATTTCTTGATAGGTCATGTATACATTTTTTTTTCCTTTCACCTAATAGATAAATATCACCGCTGACGGTAATATTTCATCAGTTGTCTGCTCTGCTGGATGACAGGCTCTTAATACTCTGTGCTGCCCTCACTCTGACACCATTGCTTTTCCTCCTCCTCTCTTAATCACATCAACTCCTCTTCTTTTCCAGTGTAGCAACAAATCACCTTCTCTTTGTTGGTACAACCGCGTCCAGCCATGTTGTGAATTTATCCCTCCTTCTTCCTGCGTAGCCTCATTATAGTGCACCCAAGTCGTGACACGAGCGAGACTTCTGCCTCAGGAACTTGCCCACTTCTCGCTCTCGCTGATATCGAGGCACCAGGCTAGACAGGAAACGTTTGGCACGAGAGGTGATGCTTTCACGTTGGCCTGCACCGTTAAAGTTTTCCACATTGGTCCCTGGGGGCCACGGGGGCTGGCCCCTGGCTAAACGCACTGCGCATTCCAAAAGCTCTGGCGTTCGGTGATCCAGGGAGGCAGAGATCTCCAGATACAGACAGTTGTAGAGGGAAGCACTGGAAATGGCCTCTGCAAGTAGAGATGGACAAGAGACATAGACAGGAGAAGGTGAATTAGGGACAAGAGTTAAGAGTTTTGATGACCAGAGATTATGACTTCACATGATGTGCTATGACAGGTTTCTTTACATGCAGTGATCTGTGACATGAGCTTCAACCAGTGGCTGGTGTCCCGTTGAAATTGCCTTATTTATAGAAGAGTGCAATGCACTTTGTTTAAAAGTAGTTTGCACAAAAGCGGTCTGTAGTGTCTCAATAAAAAGAATTGTATTCCAGGATAAATTAATTTCTATATTTACCCTATTGTAAAGCTTTACTGAATGGTTTTTCTTTTATGTTGCATCTTTTAAAACGTACGGACTTAACAGATCAGATGTGCTTTACAGACTTGACTAATCCAATTCACTGCTTTGCCTGTTAACAGTTCTCTAAGTCTCAAAGTTTTCATGTAGGAATGAAAGAAAGTGCAGTGGGCATATGTTTTACAGTCTTAGTAAAAAGAAAATCTCATATACCTTTGATGTGAGGTCTCGGGCTGTGGCCTTTGAAAAGAGAGGGTGCTGAAGAGCTCTGTTTTTGATGAGTCAAGACTGCTTGGCCAATGTGCAAAATACCCTTACAAGTGAATCCAAGTGATTATATATATATATAATATAAATATATGCGTGTATATATGTATGTATATATGTATGTCTAGTGGTGCATTTTGTTAAACTGCGTAAACGGACAGTTAATTCCTGGTCAATGTCGCTGTATTCTCTTGCCCCCTACCTCCACACTGCACTGATGCCTGGAGACACTGACATCTCCATATTCACACGTTCACTGCAGAGAATATTTACTGACACAGATGAAGAGCTTAAATGCCACCAACTGTGAAAAAAACCCTTATCTTAAGGTAACCGTGAAATAAATGATGGCGAGGCGGTTAATCCTACCTTGAGAGGTGACCTCGCGCGATCGTACAAGGTCACTCTTATTACCAACGAGTATGATGGGAGTTTGCGGCTGCGTCTCCCTCAGGAGTAGTCGCAGCTGGGCAGTGCGATGGAAACTGCGCCTGTCTGTGACTGAAAACACCAGGACGCACACTTCACATTGCAGTGTTGAGAGGTCCTGTGGGACAGGGACAGACACTGTTTGTTATGAATGTATGCAGAACCGTCATATCTATAGTTAGGAAGGTAGAAACTTACAACAGGACAGCTGCACTTGGAATATTCATCTTGCAGTAATTATTTTTGACTAAACCTGAACTGACAACTTGTATAACAATTGCTTAAACAACTGCTCGTATCATCTCTAAAAGAACACAATCCTAGTTAGATCCTGTCTTGTGTTTTAGACGACATCCAGGTCCAGTTATATCTCATTAAATTAGGTTTAAGACTTGACCTGCAGCACACCAGAGGCAGCTTCCTCATGGAGCAACCACTGCCGTGTTCCCAACAACAAATCTAATTCAGCCACTGCGTCACATCAACGTATATGCTGTAAAAAAAAAAATCGACTAAATTTAAACATCACCTCAGTTCGCTTGCTCCACATTCACGTTCTGCACAGATGCTGCAGAACAGTACTCAAGGGAAAAGAATAAAAGTGCGCAAAATAACCTGAAGCAAAGCTTCCTTTAACTACAACACTTTTTGTTTTTATTTTAACACGCATTTAGATAGATAGATAGATAGATAGATAGATAGATAGATAGATAGATAGATAGACGGAACTTTATTATTCCATCGGGAGTTCTACGTATATTAAATGCAGTCACAATTTAACAAGCATATGAGCCTCCGGCCTCTGACTGTATTTTAATTACCCATAGTTGATCGTGTTATAACAACAATCACCATGATTGAACAGGGTATCATGTGCTCCACTTATCTTGTACTTGTATTGTGTGTGGGTGTTTTCATTTTAAAATGATCCACCTTCTTTGGAGCACTGTTACAAATCCAAGCTGAAGAGTATTTATTTATATGTAAAACACAACAGAGCTCTTGCTGCAGATCAGGATCAGTCTAATGAGAGAACAAGGTTCATCTGTGGGTGAGGTGTTGTTTGGCTCACCTGTCTCCAGTTGTCATAGATAATGATGGTGCTCTCCTCCTCATCCACAGTGACTGTGCGCACGTAGCCCTCCCCTAAGGACAAGAGGACAGCAGTGAGGTCTCTGAGGGAGGAACACATTGTTTACCTGCTTCATACTGTGAAAGTCACGACGCTGCAGGCTGTGTAGACTGCTAGTCAGGGAAAAAAAGGTTGTTTTTTTTAAGCAAAACCTTACCATCGGAATCCACTGAAGCAGTCTGGTCCATGTCTCCCGCCAGGGCGATGGCCAGTGACGACTTCCCCACACCATTCTGTCCCAGCAGAGCAATCCTTAATGGTCCATCTGATCTGGTCTCCACTGTCACTGTCAGAATATCATCCAGGGCTGGACTGAAACTGATGGGTGAGGCAGAGGGCCCAGATGCACCCGACATCCAGTCGTTGTCATCATGGACAGCTTCCTCACGTCTGAGCTGGTGTTTAATTGGCAGTGGAGTGCTTCCTCTGCGGACAGTCGGTGTACTGGCCAGAGTCATGCTGTCACACTAACACAAAGATTCAAAAACATCCATGTAATATAAAGGCGAAACAGGAAGTTCCCACAGTTGATACGTCATTTACGATGGTAGTTCAAGACCACTGGTCCAAGTCCAAGTCCAGCACAGTTCCATTGAATTGTTACAGCCAAAGAAGACGAGAGGCAAGGGATGGTAGGAACTGAGAAATTTGAGCAAGTTTTTTTTTCCCAATTACTGCAGTGTTTCCCACCCTTCACTTCACACTGCATTATTCTAGGCACACCATTTAATTATAGGCCTGGTGAACCATCGTAAATGAAGCTATAATGATACTATGTTGAATGTTGGACTTTAAATTCCAAATTAACATTGAATTCGAACAAAGCTATACTTTGTTTGTATATATACAGCCTGCCAGGGAGGAGTGGCTGCTACATTTGCTCCCTGTTAACAAAGAAAATAACAGTAAATAAAAAAAATAAAATAAAATGTTGATAATGATAATCATCATTATCAATGATAATGATAATAATAATAATAGTGTAGACTATCTATTTAACTGAAAGTAACTGACTGACCTAATGACTACCTAATGTCTGATCTCAATTATAATATTACCACAATCACGTTACATCCAACTGGTTAAGCAGACCATCAGAACTAAAGTTTAACCGCTTAAGGACCCCGGAAATGGGCGGTGTTGACCACTTAGAGACACCTTAAACCGAAAATGTATGCATCAGACAGAATTAAACGACGACACGTCGCTCTAGAGTCCTGTCGTCTGAGCCGAGAGTGTTGGAAGTTGACATGACGTCTTACCGTGCTCGCCTTCTCCTCGCTGTTGAGTCTGTCTTCGGGCACATCTGTCAGCATCTACAAACAAAAGTACAGCCCTGTAAAGAAACATAAGTCTTCCATATATCTGTCCATCCACCCGCTCCTCCTCCTCTTCCTCCTGTCTCCCGCGTCTTTACCAGAACCTCACTCAACCTATGAACCCTCAGCAGGGGAGACGGTTAAGATGAAGATGATCTCTCACCTGTCAGGCGGCTGTCGACAACAACTGAAGTGAGCGCGGTCTCTCTTTCTCTCTCACACACGCTCTCTCTCTCTCGCTCTCTCTCTCTCTCTCTCTCTCTCTCTCTCTCCCTCTCTCGTGTCTTTCACCACACAGTGACCTCACAGCAGTGATGCTCCCGATGTCCTCTTTCAGTGAGTGAAGGGACAGTGGACACAGAAGTGTCCTCTCTGGGTTCCTCCCTCAGTGACTGTTTGTCAGCCGGTGCGCGCAGCAAAAATAGTCTTGTCGTGTGTTTCACTGGAATTCGTTAACGTATATATTAATAGAAAATACATATTTTAAACATGCATATTTAAAAAGAACTTAATTCCGCAACTACTTTAAATAGAAAGACGTTGTTTTTTTAAGTAAAAAATAATTTTTGCACTTGAGTGAAAATCATGAAAGTATCATTTATATATTTCTTTATTACATATTATATATTTATTTCAAAACAATTCCGGATGAAAATGTTTTTGTTACTGATACATTGATATCCCACGCGCTCCGTGTGGGATGTGTTAGGTGGCGTCGATATAAAATTGACCGCTAGGGAGCAGTTAAATTGCGCCCTTACCCCCAATCCATCTGTTCCCTTAATTGGGATATGTGATGTTAAGGTCGTACTTAGATACACTCTGGATTTGCCCTACATTTAAAAACATTGGTATTGGGCAAATTGTAGAATACAGATTGACCACAGTTTTCATGGAGAACCTTCCCTGGTGTTCCATGTTTTTCTCTAAAGAAAGATAAAACCTCCACCTCTGACTCCAACCACTGAGAGTCGAAAGCAAAAAGATGAACAGCTGTCTTTGACTGACCTATGCCCTTGTTGTGTTTGTCCTTTGGTGCATTTCTTAAAAAAACAACAATCTCTAAAATCTTTCTGTATTTTTGTTGTGGTGGAAAAATGTTTGTAGAATATAATTCTAGAACAATAATACTGTACCAGTGTACAATAGATACATGCTCTGTAAAATACAAAATAAACTAAAGAGTACTGCACTCTATATCTTTAAATATGTGATGTACAGAGTGAGTATGGAGATGCCCGCTGTCTAAAAGTGAGAGTTTCTATGAGCCACAGCTCGTCCCTTCAACACAAAGCCACAAAGAGCTCCGGCAGTGGGCAGTCACAGCCCTATTATAAGCCCTAATCCTCCTGCTATTGTGCAGGCCAGAGTGTGAGAGCTGGAGAGAGGTAGAGCTAAAGATGAGGTCATTATGAACAGTGCAGCACCCAGGTCACTGCCTCACTATAGAGACTGAGATAAATAGAGACATGGTGCTGCAGAGAAAAGGCCTGCAGGAAGACTCAGAGTGGGAGATGCTCCAATAGGTGAGGGCAGGGCAGATGAGGACGAGACCTCCGGAGTAAGCAAAAAACACTACACAGCACAAAGGGTTTGCTAAAGCAGTTTGTTTATTTCATATTGATATGAAACCACACTAAATCACGAGCAGGAAACCAATAGAACGGCCATCAAATTTGTAGTAGCCTCGTTAACACTTGCAACTTTGGTAAAGTAAAACTACACACTAATGAAATAAAGTTTACAAGTCACAGAATTAGAATAATACATAAATAAACAATAAATACTGGAAAAATAATTACAAAGATTTTTTTAAATTTAAAACCTAAAATAAATATTTCTAATTCATTAAATTAAGAAAGTGTCTCTAGGAAGAAATGTCTGTGAAGATGTTTGGTTATTCAGGTTAACTGTGTTTGCAGAAGTTTGGATGTAAAACTGTTCATGCTTGAGACCAGAACCAGAACTAAAGATGCTGGAACATCTTTGAGAAATTAAAACAAGTGCAGCTCCTGTTTTCTGGACATTTACGATTCATGACGAGTCCAGAACTGCATTAAAACTGTGATTGTTTCTACCATACAGTACAGTTTGTCCAGATAATGATGGTCTGAAGGACTGGACACAACCACAAATCAAGCTACATCATATTTATGTGTTTGACCACTGCAGTGGTTCCTTAAACACACCACCGTGCTCATTGCATTTAAATGCAATTTCTGAACAAATCTCTTTTGTGTTTCCATTTAAAGTTTCCACCTCCTCAACAGACTAGTTGTAGATTTACTATTCCTCCAAAAAAGAAAAAAAAAACTGAAATATTCCAAAATTTCTTGTACATTCCTTATTCTATGATAATTTAGCTTACCAACAAACACAAGTCTTGGTGAGTTGAAACACTTTGGTAGGCAACTGTGAAATTCTCTCTTGCTGAATGCAGATATCCAAGCTCACAACACTTCACATCCCGCAGCACTGCATCACTCGTATCTCTGCAGCTTTATAGCAGCGTTTCCTAAAAAACCTACAAATATGAGACTCAAACACTCATCTAAAGAGTACTTTGCGGCTAGAGTATGGTATTTTGCATAGATAAAATACTCGGCAGCATCAAGGACCGTTGACATCGTTTTCAAAACTCTATTAAACTCACTTTCACATTTTTCTTTTGCAATAACATCAGGCAAAAAAGGGAGATCTCATAAAGTTTTTGTTCAATATTCACAGTAAACTGAGACCATGAAGCAGCTTTGACTAAAGTAGTCTCTCCACTGACCATTTACAGTATTTCACAGCTCTTTAACCCCAAAAACTCCCGGCCAACAAGTACCTTTAGGTTTGTTTTTTTACAAACAAAAGTTCATACATTTACTTATTGTTAGCCTCATAGCATAATTTCCTACATTTAGTTATACTTTGGTCAAAAGGCCATATCTGCCCAACCCTGCCCTCCTAATGCTGCTGATTCATGTGCCATATTCACTATGTTCACAGCCAATCAGAGTGCTTGTTATATTCCATAACTTTCAAATACCACTTTGCCATTATGCTATGAGGCTAACGATTTGTGATTACTTATTTTCCCACTCTGGATGTGTTTGATGTTTGATCACTACCTGCTGAAAGCTTCACAGTGGCTGAAATTGTTCTTTTTCCCCCCTTCAATTTCCTCAAACTCAGAGGAAGTAATCGGGGGGTTGAGAAGGCGAGCTCCTACTATTTGTTGTTGGAGTGCTGCCTGCGTTGCTGGAGTTTGTGTTGAGGAGCTTCTCGTAGCGAGCTTTGTAGGTGTCTCTCTCCCTCAACACCCGAGTTAGTTCACACTGTAGCTGATCCAGCTGCAGTGAAGGAAACAAGAGGATGTTTGTTAAGCTTTTCCACCATCATGGTCATCTCCATCTTCATTAGGTAGGGTAGGTGATTTCAGGTTCCCTCATTGTAGTGATTTGTATTTTATTAAGTCTCAGTTGCTCAAGAATGGCCTATATCTCAAATATCAATATTTGAGGTGCCATGCTAAGAGATTGCTTAGCTCCTAAACCTTTAGCCGTTTAACAGAAAACAGAAACCTTTATTTTCCTGGCGACTGTAACAACTAATATTCCCTCAGATGAAAGTACATCCAGAAACTGGCTTAAATACGCCACTGCTTAACATAATGACTTCCTATTCAGGCACATTGCCAACAGACACTAAATACCCGTGGTAAATACCCCGTGGTCCAACTGTCCCCAACCCCAGAACACAATGGGGGATGGCGTGGGGCGGTGAGGTGATATTTCTACACAGATCACTCTATCTGCTTATTTCTAAACTTCTAAGCAATGAAACATGGCAACTTTGCACTGCTTTAGTTAGTTATACTATATAATGTGTCAGGAAAGTAAAGATAATGTGTAAAGATAATGTGTGGTGAACCCAAAACAGTTTGTCCTAACACGTGGTCTCAAAATCTCTTTAGGCTTTCTCCTGATAGGTCAAGGGTGAAAAGTCTTCAACAAACCTACACCGTCCAGCTGCCCTGTAGTTAACTTAGTCAACTTCATTGCCAGATTACCCTACAACAAACTTCAATCAACATTTGATAAATGTGGTATTTATTTGTCAACTTCATTGCCAGATTACCCTACATTACCCTACCCTAGAATAAGTGACTTCACACAGTTGTATACTGATGAGTTATCACATCACCGGTCACAGGTCCAGTTGTTCCTGTCTGTGTGTACACACCTGTTGTGAAAGTACATGTTTCTCTGACTCCAGAGCATGGCGGTGCTGTAAGCGCTTGTAGCGGCAGGACTGGGCATAGCCACGGTTCTTGAGCGTGCGTCGTTTCTGTTTCAAGCGTACCACCTCATCTTTACTCACTCCACGCAGGTGTCGGTTTAGCTCACGCACCGACAGGCTCACCAGCTGCTCATCGGAGAAGCGCTCATTCGCCCCACACTGGTGAACAGATTGGAGAAACACACACAGGAAAATATATGCTGATTCTTACTGTTCACTGGTAATGAGACATGTGGCGAACATGAGTGTGACTTGTATACATGCCTACATAATTGTTACCACTGGAGATGAAATATGTCAGAGTCCTTCTGTTTGTGTGTGTGTGTGACACGGAGCACATTTCAGCACCACATGTCCATAATCTTTCATGTAATCTGACTAAGTGCGGATGACAGTTATCAGGATTATGCACAACAATAATAGCAGACATTATCTTAAGCCCAGACTCCATATAGAAATCCTCCTAGCCAATCTTTATTAACCAGAACAAGTCAAAATATTTGTTCAAATGTTATAATAATATGCAGGATTTCTTTATTATTTATATTTTTTATATAATGTAGATATAAATGAATGACTAAAAACTATCTTGTACTGTTTGGGTCTGAGGTCAAACTTAAATTGTTTATAAAATGAGCACAAGGAGCCTTGTGTAACATACCAAAGCTCTGGGCCTGTGAAAAATATGAATTTGTTTGACCACGCCTTCAGGTGACAGGAGACACCTACTGCTTAAAAATGTCTGAGACTGCACGGGAAATGACACTAGCTACCATTTCAGTGTGTTTCCAATCACAACTCCATGCAATATTTTATTTTAAAAACATTGTTAATAATTAAAAAGAGTTGTCTCTCTGACACATCCTCAAATAAACCGTGATCCTCAATTAGTGTTTACCAACGGATGCTTTAATGTCACTGTGTTGGATACCTGGATACCTGAGGTTTAGACATATATTATGTCTAATGACAGATGAAGTCAGTAAATGACCTCAGAATACTTGTTGCTGTCAACCATGTCCATAACACTGGTTCAAACTGACAGAGACATTAAACATGTTCTAATGTTCTAATCCTAATCCTCCACTGCACAATCTCTCCATCCATCCCCTAAGTCCTCTACAGGTACCTTTGTCTTCTCACTCTGTGTCTTTCACCTTGACCGTGGTCTATTGATTGACTCTTCTTCATTAGCGTAATGAGCCTCTTTTAACTAATGAGATGATTTTGATGAGGATGATTGTTTTTCGGTTTACCTGATTAACTTGATGATGAGGTTGGTGGTTTGCGTGCATGGAATGGTGTTGATTGGGCGGATGATGGTGATGCTGATGATGGTAAAGAAGGCGGCCCTGGGGGCTGAGGGGTTGTGGGTAGGGACCTGCAGGGTGGGCAGTGTTGGGGAGTGAGACAGGGGCGGATGACAGAAACACGAGAGGGCGGTGGCACATATCTGTCCCCTTGGTGCAGGAGATGTCTCCTCCGCTGTCACTGCCGGAGTCACCCATGTTGCTGGTTGAACTCTGAGAAAGTCCTGGAAACTAAAGGAAGCAGCAGTTGTAATGAAGAGACAGCAAAACAAACGTTATGGCTTAAGGAAAATGAAGAGCACACAGAGAGCGTGGTACCTGTGAGCTGACAGCCGCAGCAGCTGAGTTTAACAAGGCCTCCACAGCATCCTCACATCCATAAAAGCCATTTACACCCCCCTTGTCTCTTTCCCCCCTCTCTGGTACTCCACCTAAGCCTCCCAGCAGAGTGGCAGGCCCTGTCACCTCTCCACCAAACTGTTGCTGTAACGCTGCCAGCCAAATCAGGTCTTCTAGGGAAGCTGGAGTTGGACCCTGAGGTCCGCTGTGACCCAGGCTGCCTTCTACATTCATCTGTGAGCCCGAGGTGACACCAGAGGTGAAGTTGTTGGACATGGAGAGGGGGAATGAGATAGAGGAGGAGGATGAAGAGAGGGAAGAAGAGCCAGAAGGTGGTGGGTGAGCATCGCTAAGTGTTGGTGAGGGTGGCAGGGAGTTGTAAGGGCTGGAGCTTAGGCTGGAGTCCTGTGGAGGATGGCTGCTGTATGGGGATTTAGACGGGTCATTGCTGAGGCCAGATTTGGGATACGAACATGGAGGCATTGGAGGAGTGTCCGATTTCACCTCGAATTTCAGGAGGTCAAAGTCATTCAGGTACTCCATGGCCAGGGGACTGGGAGGAAGAGACGCCACAGGAAGAGGAGATGACGACATGGTGTCGACTGCTTCTGCTGCTGGAGCTACGACAGGCTTTTCTCTAGTGTGTCAGGACTGTCAGGAAATCCACTCCTCTGTCTTTCTGCAGCTCATAGACACCAACGGTATTGATGTGAGGAAGCTGGAAACTCTAATACCTGGATTGTCTTTGTTCTCCTTGTTCTGAGGAAGAAAAGGAACGAGAATGTGAAGGCTTTGGTTAGAAGAACGTGGCTGAGGTTAAAAGAGCTGAAGGTACAAAGGACAAGTTGTCCACCAGCGCTACATGCTGATGTGGTCATTGGCAAGACACCTAACCATGGGTGCAGCTGGCACTAGGGACGACGGGGACATGACCCCCTCAGATTCATAGACCTCAACCCCTGTTTGTGTGCTACAGATAATGGTGCATTCAAGTACACAAGTACACTGTGGTATTTCCAGAGTTAAACTTAAGCACAGACACTTGAAAACATGAAACACCCATATAAAAATATAAAATAAATATATATGAATAAATATTAATAAACCTAAAGGACTAGACGTATATATATATATATATATATATATAGAGAGAGAGAGAGAGAGAGAGAGAGAAAGAGAGAGCGAGGAAGAGAGCGTGTATATCCGTTAAGATTGTTATGGTAATTGTATAGTGGGATTTCTGACAGCTTAGTTCCCACCTGCACTCCTGTCTCTAACCCAAAGGTGCAGCTGATTATACAGATGTGAACGGTTGTGTGAATTGCTTTTAATCAAAACTAGAAAATGTGAATATACTTTTTTTGTATTATTAAATGATTTATTAACAGTTTAAAATGTAGGAAAAGGAAAAGATTCCCTGTTCTTTTTTGAGTGCGCACTCAAACATCATTCAAAACGAACTAAGCAATCTAGCATTTGAATCCAAGTTGTTCTCCTTTTAAACAGTACTATTTTATTGAACCAAAAATACAGTCAAAAGTTTAATTATACCCCTTCAACATGTACGTATTTATATTTCAGTACAATAATATATCACCAATCCTCTAATTGCTTTGACAACAGGTCAGTAGGACCAAAACCTGCACACAGTCCATGTTATGTATGTGTGAGCCGTATGAAAACACTAATTTGCATCACAGTCCCTATTGTATGGTAGCAGAGATGGTTGAACACACTTTACACATCCCTGTGTGTGAGCTACTGTGAACTTCTGTGTCATCACGTATCTTGTTTAAAAGAAAGATTTATGATCAACTTTACTTTTCATACTAATCACAACAACATTTTAAACATGTTAGTTGTTTTTTGAAGGTAAGGATATAATTCTAAGATTGTCTGATTAAAAACTACAAGCTTTAATTTCTACAAGTTTCAGCCGTTCATTTACATTCCTCTCTGGTTTACAACGACGTAATCACACAATGAATAAAAACTTAAATTTCTAGAAAGATCTGCAGACTATATAGGGCGTGATGGTCCACAACAACCAGAACGGCTTTATACGAGAGAGATTCTCGGACCAAATCCAATTATAAAACCATTCACACCTAAATCCACAGACTTTTTTAAAAAAGGGATTAAAATGTGTTATAAAGTAAGACTGAACTCCCAGGTCTGTGAGGGTGTTAAATGCCAAACTCTTAAATTTTGGGACTTGTCTACCCATGGGCGACAATGTGGAATTCAAACAAAAATGAAATAAAACGTATTTGTGTTCCATATTTTCAGTTACAGATGGGCTAAACAGGATTCTCGTAAAGTTTGCCCTTTCACAGGCGAATGACAGAAAGAGCAGTAGCAGAACATTGACGAAAAGTTCAAAGTTTCCAGTGTAGTGGTAACCACATCAAAGCCAGACGTAGGCTTCAACATCAACACTAATTACTGGCTTTCACATATAATAGTTAGTATTTCCAGGGTGAACACCTAATTAAAAGTCACACCTCTGGTGCTCAGCTCATTAGTTTTGTCTCCTGTGGTTTGAAATGGTCGTAAAATAAAGCAACGGCAAAAACTGAGTGGAGGCCTCGGACTCCAGCTGATAATAGTGACAACTGACACACACACACACACACACACACACATACAGACAGAGACAAAAGAGAACAAAGTGGAATATAAAAAGTCTGAATTAGCCTAGAGTTAGAAAGAATGAAATGATCTTACCGTTACAGCTGTCACAACCTCATCTTAACATCCCCACCAAACACACACGCACACACACACACATGGCCACAGATATGATCGACTGACTGGATGAGTGACACGTTCAGAGAGAGAGACACAGGGGGAACATGGTGTGTGTGTGCGTGTGTATGAATGTGTATAGCACTCTGCCACTGGCTGCCACTGCCCCCTTTCTGCCTTTACCCTCTGCTGCAAATCCCTGTTTGAAACATCCCCCCTCCCACCCTTATTCCTCTCTAATGGTTCACAGGCATGTTCTCTCATGACTCTCTCTCTCTCCCTGTGCTTTTCTCATGTAAAGTTCCCATTACATTACATTTCTTTATTGAACAAAAAACCCATAGGATTTGTAGTGTAAAAATGTATTCATGTTATAAATTAATGAAGTGAACAGAAATGTAAAGTACTTATGCTCCATCCATCCATCCATCTTTTTTAAATGGTGGCCCACAAACTTGACATATTTAACTCTCTGCTTGTGATATTATTGATTTTATGCTTAAACACTTGATGTTAATTCCTCCCTTCCGCTCACAATACATTTTAAATTAAATTAAAAATGGTTGATGTCAGACCCAACCCCTAAACTGTTTTCTGTTTGTTCCTTTTTTAAAAAAAAAAACGTGAATAAGCAATAGTTTGCTATAGTATTTGTAGGTGAATTGAATAGTTGTATTGGGTCTTAAAAAGGTGAACAATCCTTCTACAAATCACATGTGGACAAAAAGGAAAAGTGAACAAATTACACTGGCCTAGGAACATATATGTGTATTCCATAGTTGTTACATCAGTAATGGTCATCTTCTATTCTGTTATAGCGTACCAACCAATTGTTACGAATTGTAACTTTTTTTTTTCAAGTTTCAGGTCATTCCTCTTCCTCTCTTTCTCTAGTTTAACCTCTCTATCTGTCCATCATTTGTTCTTTCCGGGCAAAGCTTAGCAGTTAAACCAACAGGGCCTCTCATGAGGGTGAGGGACAAAGAGAGGCAGGGACACAGAGGAACTTACCTCATACTTCATGACAGTACACAACCCTGTCACACACAGAACAACATGAGCCCTGCAGCTGGAGCTTCCATTCAGGTGATACTAAAGAAACACACTGCAAAAAATTCACTCTGCTTCGGCACGTTCATTTACATATTTACGCAATCAAGCCAATAGCATCCAGCTTTAGTCATTATCATAATCAGTGGAATTGTTTTAATTGTGCAGTGGCTTCATTAACACTGCATACAACAATATCCTCATACAAAAATGAAATAAGAAAATACATTTTTATTTTTCTGCTTTATCCTTTCCAGTGTTGTGGGCTGCATCTTATCTGACCCGTATGTCCATCACAGAAAGAAATCACCACAGTAATGCTATGTTGCCAAACAAAAAAAAAAATGGGTCGGACTTTTGCTCAGCTGTAATGAGTTTGTGATTTTAAATCACCGGATATTAAATAATTCATAAATATATTGTAATACATATATGAATAATTATGATCATACATTAATCACGATTAATCATTAATATACAGTGTTAATCCATTAAAAATATAATTCTTTGGCACCTTTATAAAATACATTTTAAAAACAACTAAGAGTAAAAGTAAATATATAAATGAATATACTATAGTGAATAGTAAATATAATTGACTGATCTGAATTGATTGATTGTCAGTGCTGAGGGTGGCGTCAATTGTCTTATTTCCTTTAAGCATGAATAACTTAAAGAGAAACAAAGGTAACACATGGTGACCCATGTGGTCAGTTGTTATTTTCTTTAACAAATACCCACGCTGCCTGGAGGGGGTCCGGTGGGGGCATGCTTCAAACTTCCTGTCTCTCTCTGAGCCTGCTGCTTGTAACGTGAATGTTTTTCTAGCATGTATCTAATCTGTCAGCACACATCAGCACACATAATGAGACAGACGTCAACCTCACATATCTATACAGCGTTTTACACTTCATACCACTGTAACTGAATTTCAACCGTCTCATATGTGACTGTGTTGTCTGAGTGTCCACACGTGGGGTCTCATTGTGAGTGGATTTATCCGGCTAGTCATAGGATTAGCTCTAATTCTCCTGAACCTGGTGTCAGATTAACAGATACCCATGTCTTCATACTCTGTTTGTAATGTAGACTTAAGCTGTCAGGGTTCCTGCTATTATCTCACCCAGCAACTGTCCAGCACCATCCCCACGAGTGAAATCATGTGTTATCATCAGGATACGTCATCAAATACTAGTGCTGATAAACATTAGGAGTGTAACGGTACAGAGAAGTTTTGGTACATTTCTCAGTGACATCACAAAAGGTTTTCTTTTATTAACAATTGACATACTGGTGCTGGTACATACTGACCAACTGAAGGGCTCCAAACACACTTTAGGGGGGTGTTTGGGTACAAAATATTTGTTTGGTACATGTGTGTATTTGTACCTAATGTCTTGTACTGAATGTCATATGGATACACATAATGTCATATGGATGAAAATCCTTTTTTTGTCGAGCTGTGTATAATGGAAATATTACCATTATGACTAAAGCCCCCCTTCAGGGGAGCGGGTGGTTTTTGTTTGTAAACATTAAGCAGAAATTGTTGCCTACTTTTACTGAAATGACACCTGAAGGGTCCCACATGCTCAGACACAATTGGTGTCCAGGAATATTTACCAGAAAATGTAAAATTAGACATAAATATTCTAATATTTATTCTTAATTTGAAAGGATATAAAATATACAGATATATGAATTTGATTAAATATTATTTCATCAAAAAAACACTAAATTAAGTTTGGGGGCAAAGGTCATATTAATGAACTTGAAGAATTTGAAAATGTTTGTGTTTCACAGCCAACCACTACATTCACAAATTACGGCAAACTCACAGTGTACTGAAAGTTTTTATTTTCAACATTCTAAATCTCTTTGACTGTGAATCCCATCATCTGGTCTATTGTGGGTGGTCTACATGATTTGCTCATAACCTGGCTGTCGTAGTTTACATTAGCTCTGGTCTCCATGATTGCAATGACTTAGAAAAGACGATGTCTTTAATATGAATAAATGATTATTTTATTATTACTAATATTATTTTAGTAAATTTTAACTAACATAAATAATAAACATTTACCTCCACTGGTCTGGAAGTATAAGAAGTACAGGTTCAGACACACATGTGACTGCTGCTCTGTGTAACAAACAGACTGTTGGTTTAAAAAGCTCCAAAGTCACAGTTAACTCGTGACGCTTACAGACCTGGTTCCTATTACATCGGTTGACGTAGCATAATTTTATTTTCTCCTTCCATGAATCATTTCCCGTGTAGCAGTGTTCCAGCAGGTCAATGGTGAGGAGTAACAGAGGAGAAATTAGGACACTCTAAGTCAGGCTAAAGATCCTGTTTGGGTAAGATTTAGATGCAGCTTCTCTTTGTTAAAGTGATGAAAAAGCTTGATTTGGATTTCACACAGGACTGTGTGAGTACAGTCACAGTCTTGCTCATATCTTTGGATTTTTTGCATCATTTTATTTTCATGCATCTTTTTCCTCTGCCCACACATGTTCTCTCCCTGGCTTCTCTCTACCCTCGGCCTTTATGTGATCATGTTGCTTGGTAACAGCAGTAGATATGCTGAGAAGAGTAGGATCTGGCCGGGTGCTCCCCATATAATATGATGTTCCTTCACATCAGTTGTACAAAAAATGAGGTCCAGAGCTACAAAAGGCCAGAGCAGGATGACATACTCCATGCTGTCTTCATGTGTCAATGTTAGAGGTGAGAACTTAAAAATGTATAAATTATTTGAATAGAAAATTCATTAAAAAATGACAAATTGAGTTGCGCCAAATCGCCTTTTTAAATGTAAAACAAATGTTTGTTTTTTTCATTAAAATCAAGCCCAGTTCTTTGCTGTTTTGCAAAATGTGAATTTAAATCAGTGCAATTGAACTCCCACACCTTTGCTTTCTGCAGATTTTCAGCTCTTTTGAGATTTAATCAACAACAGTGGGCATGCTCACATTTTGGGAGAACGATCATTGCACAAAAGTATAGTTGTAAATCTCCTAATTGAATTTGAGCTGGAGTGGGAGTAGAATTAAAAGCCCAGAAACTAAGGTTATATTTCACTGGGTTGATGTGAGGTCATTGGTACAGACTGCCAGAGCTCAGCTTCTAATGTCAACATAAATCATTTTATGCTCAGGTTTTAGTCCAAACTATAGATACAGGATGGGACATTACATCGCCTTCTATTTAGAAAATCAGTGATTTATGAAACAGATGTAAGATTCTATTGGTTAATTTCTGAGCAATTATTAATCCTCTATCCTCATCTGTTTCCAGGCAGATGTAACATAATCAGTCCGTTTAAAAAAAAAAAAAGACACCACTGCTTCATTAGTTATCAATGACATAGTGAGAAATGGGCAAATCATTCACAGTAAACTGCAGTATTGCCACAATATTACATAAAATGTATATTTCATGGCCTGGCTCCAGTTTTATTACTTCGTTATTACTCCTTGCGTCCCACTGACTCTGGTTCGTGGGGATGCGTCGCCCCCTGCTGTTTTACATTCTTTGCAATATGGACGGGCGTTGCCATGCCAACAGGAAGTGTCTTTCTGAAGACAGGAAGAAAATGAATTAATTTTTTTCCATTTCATGATTTATTATAATTTTATCATTTCAGTTGAAACATAATCTAAACGTAAGTTTATATATGTGATAATAGCAGTAAAAACGTAATTACATTTCACATAACTATAAACATACTGTAAACACCTTTATATAGATGGGCATATACTGTATATACCTATGTATGAACATTGGCTTTAGTGGAACACGAGTGATAATACATGCATGAATAAATACAGTACAATGGAGTCAACCTGTTTTACTTGATTTTTTATAGCATAGACTATAACTGTCGGGTCTGTCTGTCTCTCTGTGTTAATCAACGTCATCACACTCACCTGTGTCCCTCCGTTCCCGCCTTCTTGGTAGCCTCTCTCGGGTCCTACCTGGTGACCCGGATGTACACATTGCCTTGCCTCCTCCTTTGTCGGGTCATTGTTTATTGTGGTGTTCTAGTGTTTTGCTCGTCGTTCCTGTTGCTCCAGGTCTGTTTCGTTTGTGCTTCTCTTCGTTCGTCCGTTGTTCCTGTCAGAGCTAAGAGTTAAGACTTTGTTCGTCATGGAGGAACTGTGTGATATAGATTTGCATGCTTCCTGTTCCGCTCCTATACGTGACTTTAATGATCCTGCAACGAAAACATAAGAAAGCCAACTAATATTATGATATAATAACTTTTCTAAATATTATCAAGGCAAATATATTTTTATTTCCTCGAACAATTTTGCTCATTCAGAGAATGCTACAGCAGGAAATTTTTTCATTACAAAAATGCACGATGTGGCTAGGAATGATATTTCTTGAATCAAAGATATTTTAAAATGTATTGCATAGAAACAATTTTCCTTAGCAATTGTGTTCTTTTGTAACTGATGGCAACATAAAAAGTCTATACACCAATTATATTGGGATGAAAAACAAATGTCGACAGGCAGGGTTGTTTTCTATTAAATGTTTTATGCATACAGTAAAGGTGCTCATACAATACATAATATTTTTTTATCTAGAAAATATATTACTTTCATTTTCTAAAAGCAAAGCTAGATATAAATCATTGAATTTTATAAGCAACTCATTTTCAGGGACCAACCAAGGCAATCATCTGTGTCAGCAGTTAAAACGTATAGTACATTTAGGAAATTACATTCTAATCAAGACATACTTTGTCTTCTGTCTCACGAAGCCACAATGTTTGAATGCCCAGCCCACTGTCCATTGGCACAAAGGGTCGTGATTGTTTTGGTTACCTAGGGATGCAAACTGGTATAAAACACCAAAAGCCACACACACAAAAAAAAACCTATTTTTTTTTGTACTGGAAAAAAAACAAAAGCACAGTGATGTCAAAGAAGGAGAAACATCCTTTGTTGTTCAGAAAAGTGACAGTTTTAACTCAAACAAGTGACAGACGTGTTATGATCTATTTGTGTCTCTGTCTCCTCTCAGATGCCGTTTCTTTTGTTTGTCAGACGAATGCTCCACGGTTGTCATGACAACACCTGTTGGACAGCAGGGGAGGGGGGGGGGGCAATGGTGGCCTCTCACAACAGCTCACTTTGACCAGGTGCAGAGTTGAAGCTGTCTGTAGAGTTGAAAACATCCGTTACCATGAGGTAAGGAAAGTAGAACAAATATTACTCTGTTTCACTGTGTGCTGTGTTGTGGCCCGAGGTGCAATTATTAGGTGAAAAAAAAATAGAATAATTTGTCCATTACTATGTTTAACGCTTCTGATCATGATAGTGCAACGTGTAAAACAAAAGTATGTGCCACACTGTGTTAAATCATAAGAAAGTCAACCAGCTGTGTGTTCACAAATTATGGATGTCTCAGTGAAGCTCACATCAAACATATTTCTATGCAGTTTTGTTGGTACTTCTATTATATGAACAAAGGTAAAGTATTACTGTACATTTCTTAGAGTGTTAAAAAATCACGCCACTAGTTTCAGGTATTTATTAATCTGACATGGTGTAATGGTAACTTATACAATTTATTTTAGAATTAATGAATGAATAATGTGTTTTAATGTTTTGTTTATTAAATGTTTTAAATGTTATTATTTATCAGGACTGTTATAAAATCACATGCATTGGCCACTCTCCATTATCATCTACAGTCTTCATTCATCTTTTATTTTCTTATTATCATGAAGATTATCAATAGAAATGACTAGAGGCCACATTCCTCTTCCTTTTAGTGCTAGTGTCAAGCCTGTAAAATAATGACGGTTGCATGAACTAGTGTTATTGACCAACACGATCATTGATTTTTTAAAAAAGGGCTGCTGTATGTAGGAGACAACTGAGAAGAACAAAATAAACAACAGTTTACAAGCCTACAGTGGTATAAAGTAAATCAGCCACATTTAAATGGCTGCAACTATTAGGATTGGAAATCAATAAGAATTTAACAATTTTGATTCCATTATTGATATCGCTTATCGATTCTCACTGCGTTAGAAAATAAAATAGACTGCAGTTAACGTGCAGAATAAAACCCGGAAACGTGTAGTTTCCACTTGACATAACAATAACATAACATTGAGCTACATGAGAAAACACTGAACTTTACAACAGTATTTTGGAACTAGAATGCAACATCAATTGTTTATGTATGTCTGTGTGCGTATTGTTTGCTACCACAACAGTAACACAAACAACACATAACAGATATATACACTAACAGCCATAGCATTACGAACACCTGCCTCATACTGTATTGCTCCCCCCTTTGCTGTAAGCTACATTAGCTCATCGATTTGAGAAAAACACAACACGTGAACCAGCCTTTGAATCAATGAACCATACAGTAGCTGCAAATGACCCTGTGGCTGGTTCACTGCTTTTCTTTTGTTGGACAATTTTTCAATGATAATAACCACTGCAGACCACACACTGTACGTCCCACAGGTGCTGAACTATTGGAGATGCTCTGACCCAGTCCATTAGACATTATATTTGTGAAACTCACTTGAGTCCTTACTCTTACCCCTCTTTTCATGGGTTTAATGCATTACCTGAGATGACAAATTGCTGCCTAATACGTCATACTAGTAATGTCAAAGGTATTAATACTATGTATTGCAGACCAGTGTATATATATATATAAACACAAATAAAACAAAGAGACATGTACCAGACAAGTCCAGTGACTTATTTCTGTTTTGGGGAAGTCTAGGTTTTTTCACAGGGGGTTTGCGATTTGGGGGCTTCTCAACATTATTAGGACTTTCTCTGTCAGTGCCTGAGATCAGTGAGGACAAAAAAGACACAGCAACAGTTAGATATAGACATCTTACACATATAAATCCACATATAAATATGTAGCACATATATAGTTTTTAATGCAGTGCAACAACATTCAATGTGTGTACTCACGGCCATGATGAAACAGAACAATACCTGCATCACAAGACATGGCCTTTCTGTTTCTCTGGGGTTTCACTGGTGCCTGAGGTCTGAGGCCTTCTTCACCTGAACACCGCGGAAGACAGAAGAATCATGAAAATCCAATTTTTTCTCTGTAGTTGGCACAAAGACAGGATACAGGAAGGAAGAGCCGGTGTTTTGCCCGCTCAGTATTTTTCTCCAAATGTCACAATCTCCCTTTAGGCTTCTGCCAGTTAAACTGCTTTATCTGCACCTTTAATATTGAACATCCTCCATAGCCTAAAGGAACTGTTTTACCTCGAAGAAAAAACAACCTGGACAGAGTCCAGAAACTAACAACGTCAGTCAACTGAACTACATACAGTGTTTTTTATACACATCATTCATCTATTACCACCATGGGTTATGCTTCAAATTAAATTAAATATGCATTTCATGACTTTTTTTTTAAATATATTAAATGCTCCTCAATGCAGGTACCTTGACTTGCAGCCCGGTCTGGTAATCCATGCAGTGGCTTCACAACAGGAGGTGGCACAGGAGGAGGAGGTAGGTTTCTCTCATTAGATGAGTCTTTTGAAAAAGTCACAAACGTTGATGTCTTTGGCTGTTTGTCCAATCAGAGCAAAGAAGTTGGATTAATCTTTAGGCATCATAAAATGTTACATTTATTAATGTGATTTATGTGAAAAAAGGATACAAGACACACACACATGCACACATATATATAATTTATTTTATATATACATTGTTTTCATATTATATTATTTTTCATATTAAATTTATATAATATGTTTTTCATATTATATTGCATATATATATGAATATAATATTCATTATATAATGAATATTATTTCATTATATTACATTTATTTTTATGTGGTTGTGATTGCGTTTTACTATGCAATATGAAGCGACATTGAGATCTCTGAAAAACATTTAAATAGATTTTTATTATTATTAATTTATTTATTTATTTTCAAGCATTAAAATAGATAATCCCAGTACAAATAAGGACAAACAAAGGTATTTGAAACCACAGACCTTTTCTGGAATAGGTGGAGGCTGGCTCTCCGAATTTCGTCTTTTTTCTCTTTCTTTCTTTTCTATTTTCCCTGGATCAGTTTCCAGCTCTCCTTCTTCATCTGTACCTGTGAAACAGAAATAATCTATTTTGTCAGTGTTGTTTTTTTTTTTTTTTTACACTGAAGTAGGTGCTATCATTTCTACAGCTCATTAGTAAAGACAAAGTACCTGGTAAGGAAGGCAGACGTGGTAGAGCATCTGCACTCTCCAGTCGATGTCTCGGCCTCAGTTTGGTCAGGTTAGGTTTACTGCTTTGTGGTGGGGGATCTGGTTTCGATGCACAGAGACCAGATCTGCCTCCAGCTCCCCCTGCACTGCTTCTCCATCCTTCTGTGAAGGCTCCAGCACTGTCAGTGAACATGTGTCTGTCTCCCAGTGTGTCCTGCTGCTGCCACTCTGTAAGGGACAGCTCTAAGCCAATCATCGTATCTGTCTCTGTTTTTGGCGAAGGCGTCTGATCTGATGGGTATGGAGGCAGCGGCCTCTGAGACAAGCTAAGTGGTTGAACATGTCTTTCGGTCTTCCTGCCGTGTTGCCTGCCCTCAGTCCACTGATTGTCCACTCCTAAGTCGGTTGGCTTATTCTCAGACCATAACCTCTCTATTTGCCTCCCGCCCATCCACTGTCTCTCTATCTTTCTGTCAATTTGCCGCTGCGTGTATCGGTCGACTGTCCACTGCTTTTCCACGTGCCTTTCTGGGTGTCTGCTCTCAGTCCAGTATCTGTCTGTTTGTCTCTCAGTTGCCCCTGCTTCTCCAAATGTTTTTTCCTGCAGCGTGTCGTCATACTGCTGCCGTTCTGCATGCTGCTCACTCTGTTTAGTCTCCAACCACAGCTTGTCAGCATGTAGCGCTTGAGTGCTTCTCTGTTTATCATCTACCCAGAACTTGTCTGTCTCCTCCGTCTGATCAAACACCACGTCTCCATCCGCTCTCTGTCAAAGAGGAAAATAAAGACATGAAAAAAAATTCTAGCATTGGAAAAAAAAACAAACAAACAGTGATACACAGACTGTACCTCTTTAGGGGAATAGAAGGGGTGTTTGTTCCCCCCCACACTTGGGTGAAGTATTCCTGGCAGTGGTGGTGGACTCAGGACTAGAGTATTCTTGCCCTGGTGATCATTTGATTTTCCATCAGGTCCTTCTCCAGGAGAAATGGCTCTGGTAGCGATTCTCAGAGGTTGCAGGAGTGTGTACACGTTCTCTGTGGCAGTGCTGCGAGAGGCAGAGTGTTAAAAACATGTGACAAATTAAGACTAAAATGTATCAGCCCTCACGACAGCGCAATCAATAGGTAATCATTTTTTACACAATTTCTGTCGTGTGTGTGACTTCTAGTGTGTTTAATACTAATCGTCGAGGCTGACTGATGGATCCTGAGTCACAGTCACCAGCTGTCACTGACATCTGTGTACACACTCTGGTATCAGCATGCCCACGCTTTGGCAGCTTTCAGCTATTTGTCAAATCAACAAAGAAATAAGGGATGTTTAGATTGATATCTATCAAGCTCAGTGCTGTCAACTGCTAGAAAGAATAAGAAAAAGTGGAAATATAAAGCCAAGACCATGTGTGTCAGGGAACAAATCCTTTCTGATGTGTGTATTGTTATTTTCTTTCATGTGCTGTGTGTTCAAGGGAGCGGTTGTCTCTGTAATTATATGTACACACCCTGTGGGAGCTGTAGCAACAGTGTGACATCCATCTCCATAAATCTCTGCATCACACTCCGGGGGTCCCTGACCGGCCTGAGTGTTGCTGCGGTTTTTTCGAAAACCAAATATGGCGAGCATGTTTCTCCTTTTTTTCCTTCTCAGAGAGTGAGCTTTGTGCAAAGAGGAAAGCTGACTGTGGAGAGGAAAGAGAAAGATTAAACCCAGAGCCTAGAGCAGATGAATGGTGTCAATTGTTCACACAGGATGTCACACTGCCGTCAAAGATGAAAACGTTTTGTTCTACAAGTGCACTGAGATAGTTCATTCATCCACTTCTTTCAGTATCAGCACATACGATTGTACACATAAGGAGAATACTTTGCGTTAATTTAACTGTTGGGATCATGAAGTGACTCATGCGAGTGCTTCAGTGACATATGTCACAATGGCAGATTCATGGCTTACCTAATTGTGAAAGTGGGCCATGTTTTTGGGATAATCAAGGTAAATCTATATTTCTTTTTTGTACTGGTTAGCTCATCCAGACACATTCACAAGTATTCTACTGAAGCAGACGTTCAGTAATTTTCTGTATTTATGGCCATATAGTAATAATACAAATATAGTATATAAATACTATATTTGTTCATACTAAATGAACCCCTTATTAGCCAATTATTTATTAATATGTTTAAGTTGTCTAGTTGTTTGTCATAGTAAAGGGCATAAGGAACAGCCACAGTTTATTAAAAAGTTTCTGTTCAGCAGATAACTGTCTATGACTACAGAGTTCTTAAAACAGTCAGCTCACTGCTGTTTCACGGTGACACAGACCTCAGTGTGATGGATCACTGTTCTCAACTAGGTTGGACATCTCTCAGTTCATTCTTGTGTGAAGAAATGAAAGAAAGAACGAGAGCTGACGGGAAAATGGGTGCCTAATATTAGAATGCACAGTTTGCTTTATAAAACAGCAGGCATCATGATAAATGTGATTTTAGTGACAGTCTACAGAGGCAGAGAATGTGGTGTGAAAGATGAAGGTTTGTGTTATGACGCAGGTACCTGTCAGGGAGAACTCTTTTGGAGTAAAAGTCAGGGAGGCCATCATCAAGAGGGCTTATTCCTCCATTTTCACTGCAGTCCTTCACTCCTTCACACACACACACACACACACACACACACACACACACACACACACACACACACACACACACACACACACACACACACACACACACACACATACACACACACGCTCATTTCAACCATTTTCTTCCATAAATCTTCGATAGGCAGTAAAACAAATGGATTATGTGACTTCAGTGAGATGACATAATCCAATAGAAGCTGTCTACTTTGTTTAAATTACCCAACACAAAGACAGAAATCATTGCCAGTGGGCATGAAGCGTGGATTTGGAATTTTAAATAGTCAAAAAATAGACAGAACAGCCAGAAAGATCTGTCTTACTGTCTCAGCTGTTATGTTCCCTCCTTTGTGCCTGCGCGGGGGTCTCGGCCGGACTCGTGTAACATGATGCAGAGGCAAGCCCTGTGTAGGCAGCTCTGACAAGCCTTCCCAAGATGCCGAGCGGGACAGTGGCGATGAATACGATGGCAGGGAGGGAGGCGGAGAGGAGCTGGAGTCGTCGCATAAACCTGACATGAAAAACATTATTGAAGACGTGAGTTCAAGAAGACGGGACGGCGTAGTCAGGGGACGTGATGGCGGGAATTGGCCAATTATTTTTGCTTCACGCCGTCACATTCAAAATAATTGAGAACGCAGTTACAACGACTCAAACATGTATGAGACAAGATTACAGCAGTCATTAATGGACTTCTGGGAGAGAGAGATGTGAGAGGGATGCAGAAGTAATAGAAACTGCATTAACGCTGCTTTGAGTAAGATAGGGTGTGGTCAGAGTGAGACGGGAAAGGGGAGGATAAGAGGATGTAGAGCAGTACTTACTCAGTCTTGTGGAGACGGGTCGTATTCGTCTTGTTCTCGAGCTGCGCTTCTTAATAGCTATTGTGTCCTGGGAGGAAAAAATTATGTGATGGAGAGGCTGAGCGTGGAAATTTCAAACAGTACAAATAAAACAACTCTTCTGTTGATAATAAAATTAGTTTAAAATACATTTATCTCTAAGGAAAATATAAAGGTAGAGACACAGTCTAGGTCAGTGATCATCAGCTGGTAGCCGGACATTCCAATCCGTCCGACTGGATTCCAAGATAAACATCTAATAATAATGTTTAACATTTTATTTTATCTGAGCGTCCGGCCACCAATGTGTCTGTCCAGAAAAATTCTGGCTCTTGACAAATATAGTCAGTGACACTTTCTCTAAATTACAAAAAGCAGAATCCTATAGCTGGATTGTCAGAACCAAGTCTAGTTCCCCAAACTCACAATGTTGGCGCCAAGCTCCTCGTCAGTGATGTCCAAAGAGTCTCTGTGTCTGTTGAACCTCCAACCCGTCCCGTCCTCACACATCCCTTCCCACCGCTTCACGTGGGACACCTGTCGTGTCTAAAGCAGACAGCACTGCTCAAACTTTTTGACAGACTTCAGTAAGAACAACACATGGTGACTACGCAGCAAATGATTTGTGTTCACCAGTGTTTTATGGGTGGTGTAGAGCTCCTGCAGGATTTGGTCCACAATGGAGTTGGTGAGATAGGAAACCACTGAGAGCTTCACTTCTCTGCAGGAGAGTGGGTGAAGAGGAAACGGGAGAGACCAACAGAAAATCATTGGTAAACGTGAGAGCTATTCAATACCACTCATTCACAGCCAGACTGATCGCCCCCGTTCCCACTTCCTCATCCTGTGCGTACTCTAAAGCTCGGTGAATGTCTTGCGCTGCTCTTTCCATTAGAGCTGTCCGAATGGCAGAGCGTGGGATGGACACGCGTTCAGAGACGGATGAGAGCGAGGGACTGAGTCGCTCTGCTGCAGCGGATGATGAAGGACAGAGCTCGCGACACAGAGACACCATGGAGTCCACAATCACCTGCAATAGATGCTTTAGCATTAGTATTTCAGTCATTGCTGAATGGACCGGATGTGTAAGGAAACTGGTTTGTCTGGACAACATGTTTAATACAGGTGGCTGTAACATTTGGATTTTTTTTTAAATTACAAAAAAAGGTTTGGGGATTTAGATTGGATACGGTGATTGATGCTTAAAAAATATAGCCACTACTTTTTATCATCGTAGTAGAACAACAAGACCAAACTCCAAAGGCTTAGTTATCTAAACTATCAGTTACCAAGACACAGTCTTTCAGCCTGTTCCCAGACACAGGTTATACTACGAACAGTGTGAGGTTTCGTCTTCATTTCATTTACCATATTATTACTGTAACTAATGTGATCACCTGAGGAGTCCCTTCATGGTTAAACAAAAGCTTCCGTTTATAACGATTGCAGCTGAATCATTTTCTGAATTTCCCTTTCACATTAATGAATGTAGACTAACGGCCATTGGGTGATGTGTCCACAGACTGACATCTACCTGAAGCTCCTTATCTGCAGCTTTGGCGAGTTCAACGGCCAGGGAATCCAGCCGCTGCCTCACCGGCCCGTCCACCGACAGCACATGAGCCAGCTCACACAGTGAAGGGTAGAGCTTGAAGCACCAGAGAGGAAATGATTCATTCAAATTCAGTGTCACAGAGTAAGAAAATACTGCACTAATGCATCTCTTGTCACTCACAGCACGGGAATTTCTTGCTTCCTTTAGCACTTGTTTAGCAGCTTGAACCTCCTCCATCTCCCCGACACCTCTTAACACACACACCTGCTGCTGTACACGAACACAGAGGCGCTCCATCACCTTGGAAACAGATGGGCAGTGGACACTTGTGAGCAAAACTAAATGTAATACCCTATTTCATATGTTAGAACAACACAGCACAGAGGGAATGTTCTACCTGTTCGGCGGTGCTGGTGACGAGACCCTGGTGCAGACGCAGGGCCTGGCGTTGAGAGAAACGCTGAGTCTGGTTGTTCCTCACCAGCGCTCGCTGGATCTGTGACCAATGAACAACACCTACATTACTGAATGTGGGCTTAAAAAGGTATGAATATAAGAAAATAAAACGTACTTTAAAAGTACTCCGTCAGAACAGTTCTGAATATCAGGACAAGCTGGCCTGGTATTTATTTTACGTGTCCACCTCCCACTGTGACACCCACAGCTCGGACCAAATACAAATAATCCCCCTAGGCTGAGAACTTAATCATTACATTGTTCCCATTGTTTGTAGTTCTTATATTTGAAATGCAGTGCGCACCAGTCCATGGCCACTTTTGTATTCTTTGTTTGACCCAGAAATTGGGACACAAAGTGAATACAATGGTTGTCGTCCCCACTCATCACAAAGCTACATAAAACATATTATTTTTTATTTTAGCATTTGTCAATTTGAAAACTTCTCTGTCATGTTAAGCAAGGAAAACAACAAAGGGAAGGCTGTTCTCAGACAGCAGTGTCTGTCCGTCCATGTTTTGCTGAGGGTTCCAAACACTATCACGGTCAACTATACAGAAATTCTCCCAACACAAGTTAAGTAAAGTTGTATTTTTAGCAACATTTTGAGAGTAAAGAAGTTAATGAATAAACTAAAGGGTTTGAATCTAGGGCCTGATCTTGTTTTCAAATAATCAAGTAAGCAGTTTTCTGAAACACATTTTTGGTTTATCATAATTTCATTTGTTGATTAAACTACTAACATACAACACTGCATTTTTGAATATGCTTTTACTCTTCTGTGTTTAGAGGCATTTCAAGTCACATCCAAGGGCCTCATGCCAATGGGAATTGTTGATACAAAAACACATAGTGTTTTATAGTGAACTGTTGAAAGACAAAAGTATATATTTCTAAATTCAAGCGTTACTAGTAAAATAGAAAACTAGTTATTTCACATGCAGTTATTTTAAATCACTTTCTGCTAACCTTAGTCAAAGCCTGCTCTGTCTTCTCAGGGGAACTGCGGTACGCCTGGCTGATGTCACTCAGAGGAAGAGGCATGTACTGCAATGTAAAGTTACTAAAAAATGGAAACGAAGAAGGAGAGAAATCAAAGAAAAGGTTGAGTAAAGGCTGAATAATCCAATAGATAGAAATAACCAGAGCAGTGCTTCAACCATACAGGGTTTAATTCCTCCACTGGACAGAACTCATCATCAACTTCTCTTAGAGAATTACTTTGATCTTTCTACCCATGTACCCTACTCTTTTGGCCTGGAGGTAAGTATGGGCCTCATCAGATAGCAAAGTGGAAAGAAGCTATTTAAACAGACTGTGTTTCATGTTTTAATGTATTTCAAGGGTATGAAATATTAATTTAATATAAAAGAGTACCTCTTATGTATTTCCTTAGTTGAGATACAGTACGTAGAAGAAAACTTACTGTATGTCAGATGTGTATTGTTAATGTTTTAAAATTCTCACTGTTCAAGTGCACGAGCCACATCAAGAAACCCTGCCGCAGAGGTGTTGTTGCGGTCCCAGCTTACGCTCCTGTTGGGAAAATCATAGAGAATATATATATTATTATATTGTCACGCATCAAGAGAGATGCAAAACCACAGAAATGTATTTCCTTCACCTGAGTGTGGTGTTGATTTGCAGGGCTTTGCTCAGCATCTTGGCCCCGATGTCGTCCATGCTGTTGCCACTCAGGTCCACTTTTCTCAGGCAGGTGTTGCTGCCCAGGGCATTGACCAGTACGGTCCCCCTGGAGCGCAGACGGGACTCGGTCAGTGACAGTGTCTGCAGGGCCTGGAGGGGGAGATTAGAAGATGGCATAAAAAGTCAAAGTAGGCTGTGACACCATTCTGACTTTACATAACATACTTTTTGTGTGGAATTACTGATCAAGTGTATGTTTGTGAGTGTTATGTTATTCCCACAAAGGAAACAGAAAAATAAGTGGTGCATATTTAGAAATAATTTATCACAGAGAAATGATCATAAAGTGAACCATCAGATTTTCACTTTGCGTTAACTTGATGGATTTTTTGTTTTTCACTTTGAAGGTTCTATCAAAGAACTATAGAGCACCATGTAATGATCTGAGCTACATATCTAGATTTTTCTTGCATTGTCACTCACACAATCCTCCTCCTGTATTAGTTGAACTAGCTTCTGCAGGACCTCGTCCAGAACCCTGCGGCAGCAAAGCATGAAGACAAACACACAAATGAGTTGAGCTGAGCCAAAGTGGAAAATCTGGCTCTGCTAGTGAATTTTTCACTACAGGAATCGCAGTTCATTATAGCAACTGAAGTGAAATCACAGACAAGTACAGTGTGTTTAGGCCTCCAGATGTTGTGTGTGGTTCTGTGTACTCATGTGGAACTAAAAAATCATCAGCAGCACCTGTGTTTGATGTTGAAGTTCTTGCCCAAATGCAGGTGTTTGAGGGAGGGGTGTCTGGAGAGAGCTGGCAGCACTGTGATCATGTCTGCATCAAAACCTGGTAACGCACAAATACAAGCACACACACACACACACACACACATGAATGGATGCATTAACGGCCCACTCAGTCCTTGTCTGCCTGAGGACGAGGAGTCAAAGTCACAGAAAGAACATTCTGCTGCTGCACGCCACTGGCCTCCTGTACCGTTGTCGGAGATATCCAGAGTGCCAATGGATGATACCCGTGGGAGGAGCTCCTGGATTACAGCAGCCCCTGCAGTCCTCAGCTAGAGAAAGAGAGAAGGTAAAAAAAAAAATCAACATGTGCACTAGCATAAATCAGAGTCAATTTAGTCTTCGTCTCTGGGGGATTGTTCCATTTTTCCAGAGTGAAGCAAATTTATGAATGCCATTTTCACGTCTCTGCATGCAGTCTGAAGCTCTGCTTGGCTTATTATGTGTATCAGACTCAGCTGTCGGAAAATACTTTCTCTTAACTAAGCATATTTTTACACATTCAGTGTTACTATAGTATAAGTACGTGTAAGGCTGTGAATGCAAACAGGAAAAAGCTGGCGTTGAATCAACCTAACTAAGTAGTAAAAATTAACACATTTTTAGATGTCTTTGTTAGCAAAGATTAAGATTCTTTGTTAAGCAAAGACTTTTGCTTATGCAATTTTACAAGTTTAGTTGCTTAACTCTTTGGCCCCAACTTAGTGTAATTCAGTCATCAATATCTTTATGTTTGTTGTTGTTGTTTTTTTTAATAAATGCCTTTTTACATTTCTTGATGTTCAGGTCTTTTGACAGTAAGGTGATAAAATCATCTTTCTATCAACTACAATAAAAAACAATTGTAAGTAAAGAAAATTAAACCTTAACTGTCCTTTCAAATTGTCGTTGGATCTATTTACAGATACAGTCGTGAAGTCCTACCTCACAGCCACTGATGTCCAGATGAAGGTCATTGATGTGTGGGTTTGTGGTCAACCCTGTGAGAAGAGCCCTGGAGGAAGGAGAGGAGTAAGGAAGATTTACAATTCAACTTTTACACAGCAGAGAACTTTCAACAACATTAACAATGTATAGAAGTTGCATAGAAACAGCAAAAAGACAAAGAGCTTATGTGGTAAGATGGCAAGCACCTGAGAACATCAGGAGGCAGCTTCATAGAAGCCAGGCTGATGTGAGTGAGGCTGAAGGCCAAGCTGAAGAACTGGCGGAACAGTGGCAGAGCATCTTTGACTTTTCTATTGGGTTAGAAGAAGAGGGGAAACAGAAGTGAGGAGACGAAACTGAACCAGTTGTTCTTGACCACATAGAGGAGATGAAGTCACATTGTTGACGTGCTGGGTAAATATATATACAGCATATGCCATGCAGTGTGAGGAGTAAAAGACACGTCATGCTTTGCTTCAGGGGTGGTGGGAGCAAGTGAGGTCAAATGATAGATGGTTCCATTTAAGTATTCATGAGTCTTATCTATGCGGGCAGCACTGAGAGTCTGAGGTCTTAAACATTAGGAGATACAGCCACAGAGAGGAAACACAACATTTCAGTGACTCCACAGAGCTAATGTCTTTAACCCCCCCCCCCCCTCACAGAGCAAGATAATGGCTGACAAAAATGACTGACAAAAATAAAAGAGTGGAGAAAGAAGAGCAATAGAAAGAACGGATGAGGTCTTTGAAGTGACATGAAGAAGATATACATCTCCAGTGATTTGCACACGGCCCAGCCTTTAATGTTCAGAGGATCTAAAAGAGATGACTAACCTGTGGGAGAAGGAATTTTTGGAAAGATTCAAAAAGGAGAGATCAGCACAACACCCCCTCAGAAGAGCCCCAAATAGCTGCATTAGACACAGGGTGGAGACGGTTAATCTCCACTGAACATCACTCAGAGACAGAGAAAGAGAGACAGACGTGCATTTTTATACATTTGACCATCCCCTGTCAATAATAAACTCACCGAGTCCACATAGCAATCTGTGCCTGACAGGTCCAAATGGACCAGGCAGTTGGGCTGAGACAAGAAAAGATACAAGTTCTACAAAACACAGAGGGGGGAAGGTAGAAAAAGACAGAAGATGTTATTTCTTGGGATAAAACTGACATAAATGGAGAGAGGGAAGTGTAAGTCAGGTCTTTGGGGCTTTCTGACCGAGGCGTCGTCTCCTGAGAGGACACCTGGATTCTTGCTCAGGTCCAGGTGCAGGAGGGAGTTGGAGTACTCATCAGTGGAGCACAGAGCCTGTGAGAGAGACACCACACCTGACACACAGAGAGGGGGATGAGAGAGAGAGAGAGAAAAGAAATAGAGGAAAAAGAGAGAGTGGAACATGACAGAGTATGCTGTTAGGTATTAAGGACAGAGAGACAGGGAACACTCTCAAGACATTTTCCCTCCTTTCATTATTCATACACATCTGAGAGAGAAACTACTGCAGGTATCACTGAGTATGATGGAACACAGTATCTGCCTGCATCAATGTAATATTTAAATTCTCCACTGAGTACACGGTACGATGAGACAGTAACAGGAGGTGTGCAGCCTGCAGGGCAGAGTGGGACATCGTGAATCACTTAGGAGTCATAGCTGTTTTTTTAACATGACACAAGGTACACAATTGTCTAAAGCTTTGTAGTTCTTTTTTTATTTCAAATGAAAACTAACATAATTTGTTGAAACTATTAAAAAAGCAATTCAGGAGAAAAAGAGGATAAAAGAGCAAACCTTTGGAGGTGAGAGAGGTCTTGCACATGCACTAATTTTAAGGCCTTTGCTGAGGCGACACACCTGCTGGATTAAGTTGGACACACCTGCAGAATGTGCAGATGTAAAGTTTTGGAACAAAGGAACAAAAGAAATACATAAAATATATGACCAGCGTGTGTAAAACCTACAGCCCTACACCAACCAACCTGGGAAAAAATACTGCCCTACTTCTACAGCTACCTTTAAAAACTGAAATTTTATTTAATCCTTGATTATTATTATTTTTTTTCAATCACAAGAAGCTACTGCTTTCTGTATTAAATTAACCTTCTAAGTGTCTGGGTACTCCAATTCAGTTTGAGCAGTAAGGCAATCAAAAACCATGCAGTTTTAAAGCAATGTTTAACAGTGCTGTTGGCACACTATCTACAGCAGTTGCCTCAAGGAGCCAGTGTTCTTCCACAAAGATATTAAAAGTCATTATTATCCAGCATCAGCTCTTCCTGAAGACAGATTAACTAAAAATCAATTACACAATTACTGCTTCAAACTTGCAATGTAATGACTGGGGAAGGATACAGCCAAATGTTTTCTACCATCTAGATGAGTTACTGTTGACGCTCCAGGAGCAACCCACTGTGCACGCTGGTACTTTTGTGTGGCCCACTTACATTATAAAAGGGCACTGTTTGTCATGTCTGGGTTACAACCTCGACAAAAGTGTAATGATCTATAAAAGAGCGACCTTTTAATGTGACTTCTGATGATACAAGATATCTCTGTCTCTCTTTTTCATTGCATTTCAGCCAAATCCAGTTGGTGTGGGTCAGATAAAAGCAGACAGTGCTACATGTCCTGCACCAAGGGGCCAAATCTGCATGTTACCTGTCGTCAGATCACAGCCTCTACAAAACCAAGAGACCAGGTACCAAACGTCTTCTAACATTCTCTGATGAGATGTTTGAACGCAGTAGCAGCAATGCAACAGGATAAACATCAGGTACAGTATTTTTAACCTCTTGCCAGGCACACGGAGAGTTTGACAAACTATAGCATCTGAACCTTTTTATGTGCGTGCAAGACTAGTTTTTCCACTAGCAATGAACCAGAGAACCATATTTAGAAGCTGATGATGGGCCGTACCTTGGTTGTCCAGTGAGTTATGTGCCAGATTGAGGGAGTGGATGACAGATGCAGGGTTTTCTGACAGAGCAGTTGACATTTTCTGGGGGAAGTCCCTGTGACATTAGACACAGTACATCAGAGCTGTAGCAAACACTACAAGTACAAGTAAATATGATGTCTTCAGACATGTTTTTTTACTCAATCAAGAGTACTAAATAATTGTTCGTTAAAATATACTGATAAATTCAAAAGATATCACATAAGAGTAATGTAAACATAACAATTGTCAGTGAAGAAAACTCACCTCATTTTATCAATGTGTTCAAAACATATTTTATCAGGACTTAAACTAAACTAAAGACTAACCCTATAGTCCATCTGTAAAGGAAATCTAAACTCACGACTTCAACCCAGCATTTTCCAGCGTGATCTCCTCAAGGCTCGAAGATTTGCTGACCGTATGAAGAACTTGTTCTGTGACCTCTGATCCCTGAGGTATAAAGGGAACAATTAAAATTCACTTTTAACCTGTTTTTGCAAAGTTAATATCTATCCGGAGGCTCAGCAACACACAACATTGGATGCAGTAGAGGTATCTACGTACTATGCGCAGATCTTTGCAGTAGAGTTTGGTGAACCAGGTGTTGTATGCCATGGATGCAACAATTACTGCCAAATCCCTGAAGAAATGTTTTCAAAATTAGGTGAGGAGCTGACGGTTTTATAAAATTAACAGATTCTCGTGGCTCGCGTCCTTCACCTGCTCTCCAGGTGGCTGAAGTCCAACAGGTTGAACTCTCGGTTGTCCTGGGAGTGATAGATGGTGTCCACGTCCTGGGAGAACATCACATCTGAGTTTTTTTTTTTAAACTAATATTTTTTCTTAATTATTTATTTTGTTCACGTAGCATATCGAACTGATGCACAAGTGAAACAGACTCCACTGCAGCTCTTACCCACTGCACTTCCTCTTTGCAGCTGATGCCATTGTAGTCACACAGAGCAGCATAGGTTTCAGAGAAGCCTCCTGGGAAAGGAGGGCAGAACACAGAAGAGACAGAGGGAGTCAGTAGTTAGGTGTACAGTAGAGCTGCTCCTTTAAGATACAGCATTTTCCAAAAACTACCAATTTTTGTGCTTTAAAAGAAACAACCATCTAGTTAGCCATCTGTGAAGTGTGCCTACGCCCCAATAAATCTGCCTCTTAATTACTGTGGGAAGGTATATGTACTGTACTGTAGAGATAGTCTCTCTTTACCGCAGGCTCTCTGGGTTTCCACCGACGTCTCTGAGCTGGGCGAATACTTCTTGCTACCATCAGAAAGGTCACTGTCGGAGTGACAGATGGAAGGGCTGTGAAGATAAAAAGGGAACTGAGGCTGTAAGAAATAATTTCTCTTTCAATAATAAAGGTCAGTCCTCTTTGAAGGAGTCTGATTATTGACCGCAGCATTGATGTCAGGACAGTGTGTTCAGACTTCTCCTTTCGTGGATGAAAGACACTTACGCAAAGATTGAGTTGTTGAATATTCGAGAAAGGGCGAAGTTGATATGGCTGACCACATGACTGACGTGTTTCCGTGATTCAAACCTCAGGGAGTAGGTGGACTTGTCAGTGTCAATGATAACCTGCGCAGAATAGGGAAGCCAACTGTGGTGAGGAAGGAATATTGATATACAGTATGTGTGTACATATATTTTCTGTTTATATATATATATATATATATATTGTTGCTTCAGTAACAATGGATATTGTTTATGTTTCTTGGGGTGAATTTGTTTGTACTATACTAATCAGTGTTTTCTGCTTTTTGAGTTAATCCATTTAATTAACAGCGCTGTCTGAGCCTGTTTAATGGTCCATATTCTGAATGCATGGCACATCAATCAGTCATTTAGTCAATTAGTCAAACAATGAAACCCAAGGATCCTCATTGATTGGTCGATGTAATATCCAAGGAGGAGCTTAAAGGTTCTGCCTTGTTTTACCTTGATTTTGCCTTGATTCTTTACTGAAATACTGCATTTACACCTTAGTTCAAGGGTTCTGTCTAATGCAACATAATGTTAAATATAATGGTTTTAATGTAACACCAAGGACTTCATTCAAGTGAACAAAGGGTTTAGCTTGAATCCTTTACCTTAAAAATTGTTTCATATAAAACCCTCACCTTTATGTCACTGGTCTTTTCTCCTGCTTTTCTATGGTTTTTAAATCTCTTTGTTCTGTACCTTGGCCATCAAAACCCATAGAGAAAAACGTATTGGAAAACGCTTTCTCATCCCTTTGAAATGATGTAACTGCGGTGCTATTTAAATGTGCCGACAGTGGAGCAGATCACTTACGAAGTTTAGCATTAATGTAAAGATTCACCTGGTGTTCAGGATGAGAGTTCAAAGCCCGAATCTCCAAGAAGTTGAATGTGGATTCTGCCTGTTGACACAGATACAGTCAACAAAGTAAAATTGTTAGAATGGTTGGAGAAAAGTGTCACGGTTAAGAGGTGGAGAGCTGTAGAGGTACCTTTGCAGGAATCTTTGGAGCCAGGAAATAGAGACGCCATGTTGTGAGAACCTTCAGAGAACCACAAGGGAAGAAAGCAGACTTAGACAGAGAGAGAGAGAGCAAGAGCAACTTTTGGCAAAGTTCAATGCATATGTCACATTTCCCGTTGGGGAAATAATAGTCCCCGGAGTTTCCATGGTAATGATGGGAGGAAAATGAGTAGTCTGTTCTATATTCGTGTAGAGATCAATGTGAAAACCCTTCATGTCAGAGTATTTACCAGTGCTACACAGAGAGGCCATGGCAACATTTAATCTCATCTTCACAAAGACGCAATGTCATTTATTGTTGTGGGAGCTCTGTGGATGGCAATGTTGAAGTGGCTCATATTTATTTAAATGTATACTTTGTAGTTCACCAGTCAATTACCATTCCCCAGTGAACAGTATATACCATTTGGAAGAAATATATCACTCCATTCTGTGTAGGTTTGTTACTCGTGTCATAGTTATTTACCTTGTAATAACCAACTCTTGTTTTGTGGTACATTTTAAACGGAGAGTCTTCTATTGTTTTGAATATATCTCAATAAATGTCCGTAGTACTATAGCCTTTTATGAGCAGTGAACACTAAAATGCTTTTGACTGTAAAAATGAGTCTGATCAGATGACTGGACTTCAGTGTGTGTGTGTACACGCTCATTTAATTCAAGGCAAAATAAACAAACACAAAAGTAAGCATGTCTACCTGAAATAAAAAAAAAAAAACAGATAAAAACACATGTAACACAAAGGCGCTTCTCAAACCTGCATTCAAATCAGAAACCCTATAATTAAATGTAATAAAACTACAACCTGATCTGGCACACACACTCTCTACTGGTTTTTGGGAGATGACCTTGTCTGTCAGTCCAGGGGCAGAGAATGTAGCAACAACACCACTGTGCCAGCTTAAGTTCAGCGGAGAGACATTTGGAATCAGGAGAAGTTTAATTATCTCTATCTGAACAGGCATCTACAGCATATCAGCCTGTACCCACTTACAGCTTTGCTGTTGTTAACCAGCATTTAGAATAATCTGCTCCCACTACAGAATCAAGCCTGTTTTAAGAGGAAAACCAGTCCTGTCCTGATATTATTGTACACTATTTAATGCATTATTAATCTCAGGATAGAACTAGTTCTTAATGACTTTTTACCTCTTAACATTTTATTTTTAAACATAAACCAAATTACAAACAAATGCTTATAACAGCATAAAATGTAAAAATCAGTTAAAGCGAATTTACCAGTGTCACTGATATTTCTTTTATCTATATTTGAAATCATCATCTGGTATTGAACCTCCTAGTGGCCAAATACCTGAAATCAGGGTTGATGTAGTAAAATAAAGGAGGAGACCACGCCCAGTTCAAGACACTAAGACACTCCTGTGTCCCTCGGTGTAAGAGCTTTTGTTGAAGCCGTGACGTTTTCCCTGTTTCATTCCCACAGACTGTCAGTTTTTATCTCTGTCCTACCTTTTGTTGTTTGTTGCTGACAACAGTCTCCATTTAATTAAAATGCTTCATCACTCCATACTTTAAATACTTTAAGCTGGTGAATTATCCAACTGCATTTTTTAGATGGTAAAGCAGTGGATGTTAAGTACAGAATATTAGTAACCACTGAAGCAAAACAAGATCTGAGGGTTTTTCTGCAATTTTCTGCAGCAGCTCCAGAGAACCGCCCTCTGCCTTTAAACACTGCTGCCATTACCAATCATTTACTTTATTCTTTCTGCCTTAAACAATCCCTGTGGATTCCCCCGGCCCCTTGTGACCCTCTCCCAATGAAAAGAAGTAATTAAATTACAGCTCCATCTCTCACTGCTTTTAGGAGAGGGTAGCGTGACAGAGAGTTGTCGGGTCAGAACCACACAATGACAGCAGCGCACACCCACGCAGCAGTTGAGGTGTCCAACAGGCACGTAGTCGGTTAAAATGTGTAAATGAAAGGGTGAGATTGACACAAAGAGAGAAACAGAAAGGCTGATGAGAGGTTGGGGGGATTAACAAACCTTCCATGAACTGAAGGAGTTACAAAAAAAATGAAACTACACAAATGTGATGATTTAGATTCAAAGAATACAGCTGTTAAAATTAAGAAGTTTAACTTTAGTGATAATTTCTGAAAATTCAATAAACACAAAAATATCAAGGTTGTACATTATTAGTCCCCTGATAGTACTATGTCGTACATGTACCTAAATAAATGACTGCAGTTGTTTGGGGTTAGTTTTTACCCAGTGTAAGCAAATCCATTAGTCTATTAGAGAGAATAGAGAATAGAGTTATTGGTCTCTTGAGAGAGACTTTGTTTTTATTTGCTTTTTTAAAAAATTGATATCTAAATAAATAATCCACACTAATATACGCATTTCATCAAAAACAAACAATGAGATTAAAATATATTGAATAAAAAAAACAGGTGACACAGCATAACAGACATTAATACAAGAATCCATTAGTATAAAATAAAGAAGATGAATCAACGTCTGTTAGCCCTTAGGCCCCTTTCGTTGTTCTGACAAAGATTTTACCTTGTTGTCATGTTCAAAGATAAAATGACAGCCAAGACCTAGTTTTACTACTGACTGCTGAAAACCTCATTTTCAATCAGTGACATTTTACTTTATTCACAACATTCCTGTAGCAATTTTCTCTTATCAAGCAAAATGACAAAAAAAAGTCTATTTTTACTTACAAGCTAAATTTAGACACTGATGCCTACAACTGTAGAGGGTTGGAAATAACAGGGAATGTAGAAACCAAAGCAGAAATTAGATTTAGAAAAACAGACACCCCGTACCATATACAGTATATTGTTTAAATTATTTTTCATTTATTGTCATTCATTTAATCATTCGTTTGTGCTCACATCACTACGTCGCTGTGACATGGTTAGCCACTAAGTGGCGTAATGCATTTGTGGTAAAATGGGATTTACACGAATTCTGCTGCCATGATAATAACACCAGCAAACGTGTATCTCACTTATTTTTATTACAGATCAGTTAATATTCACTCAGTCAGCTCTACATATTGTTATGTTATGAGTTGATGGCACTAAGTCATTAGCTGTGTATATGTGACCTACAGTGACCAGTTAACGAGAGAGGGTTGATGTTAAGTGAGTGTGAAGTGTATGCTAAGTGCCTACTGCTAAGCGGACCTGCATAGTAGTGAGTGAAAAAAGTGGATGCACTAAATATATACCGATGTTTATTAATGAATGTGTTTTATCCAATATGTAGTTTTCTGTTCTATTTGTACTCAAATATTGATTCAACACAGAGTTGATTTATTGCCAATTTAGGAAAATATCTCTACTTATGTCTTTAATAGATACCAAGTATGATTTTAAAAAATATTTAGAAATAAGATTGTCTTACAGAATTAAAGAAAGCTGAAACGACTGCAGCTTTGGATTATGTAGGGAAGTAAATAAACACAGTATCTAGTATTTTAAAACTGTAGGAGACTGGGATACTTTGTAGCAGTACAAAAAAAAGGAGCCCAGAATCTACTTTTAAAATGACAGGGCTTACAGTGAGATTCTCTCGTTCATTGTTAAGTAACTTGGACTTTCTGACAGAGACAAGTGTACACCACTGGTCTAACTGCACTCTTGAACCTAGTTCTATTTTAAATGCCTGGCATATTATGGGAAAAAAGTTCTGTCAACCGTAACAGTTGAGCGGGTCTATTAAAGCAGGATATTCCTGAGACCTTATTGGACAGCTACACTATGGACCATCTCACACGAAGCTTTGACAACTAATGTTGAGTGGGAATTTTTTTTAAAAGTATAAAAACATATTTCAGCAGATTTCACCAGTTTTGCCTTTTGTGCTAACCATGTGGAGTTTGGTGAACTCCTCATCTATTCTCCTGACTGCTGTATGCACTCAGCAGGGGTTTGAACTCTGAAGCTGTTCAGCCCAGCGTTTAACAGGAAGCAGCCAACGAGAGCAGTTGAGTGAGAAATTATTGTAAAATGGTTCAGGCAGACTTATCAAAGTGTTTCTATATCAAAGTGTGTGCAGACAAAAACCCTGCCCCTCGCCTCATGATGAATCATTAAGGCATACGATCAGTGAAAGTGCTGTCAAGTCAAAGTAACGACAGGGGATTGAAGGTAGACTAAAGCAGGTCACTCATTTTTACAAAAGTGAAAAAGTGTAATCCTGTCCTTATAGACATATAACCTTATACTAAAGCGTACATATATTATAAATATTTATTAACGTACTGCGAACACTTAGTTTTAAATTATATATATAGTAATTATTTTAATTGTTTTATGGCCAGTACAACATTTTTTGAATACAGGCTAATATTTTTCAGAATTTCTGTGAAATCTAATGGATGATACATGTTTAAACTATTCACAGCTCAATCAATATTTAAAATAACAGTATGTTGGAGCCATACTCAAGTCCACTGTGTTCTCCAAACACTGGCCACCGTCCAAGATTTGGTTTAAGTCTGTGAAGTCTGAAAAAACCATTAGCCCAGATTTTATCCAGATTGCTGGCTGAGCTTCATTCACTCAGATGAGTATTTTATGTCTCAGTCCCACACTTTCTGATAAAAGCAACCCTGAATCAAAGGCTGCGAGCTGTTCGGACTCCCACAGCTTCCACAGTGGGACTTGCGCACACAGAAGAATCCACAGCTGCTCCCCCAGATACCGTCTATCCAATATACACCCTGCCAAGCCAGCAGCAGCAGCAGCAGCAGCCGCAGCAGCACTCAGACAGGCGAGG